CAGTTGTTCTTATCGGGGCATTTCCTTCTTTTCTTCAGGCCGAATAATACTCCATTGTTTATATACACACATTTCGTTCAATGCATTTGTCTATTGATGTGCAGTCAGGTTGCTTCTACCTCTTGGTTGTTGTGAACTGTGCAACAACAAACACAGAAGTGCAAGTACCTCTTTGGAATCCTGTTTTCATTCTTCTGGATATGTACCCACAGGCGGGGCTGCTGGCTCAGCAATTCTATTTTAGAGGTGTCTCCATCATTGTAAAAGCACTTTCTGGTACGACAATATATTCCAGCTTCATCTTACATTCCTCTTTTCTCACCCCTGGAATTGGTTATTTCTCCAAAGAGCTCTGGTTCTTTTTAATGAAGAATATTTAAAGCCTAACGTCCAAGATGTAAGGGGTATCAGTTAATACCAGAGCAGTCTGCTTTTCGATACTAAGGTATTGTCACAGATTTTTTCTGCTCACATTCCAGATAGAATTTATTGTAGACCTGCTTGAGAGGAAAGAGGGGCAGTTTCCTTGTTGACATGAGACTCTTTCCTCCCCTAGTGTTTATTTGGAGCTTTAAGATGGGACTGTCGGAAGTGTCTCCTGAGGCAGTGGATGGAACTGACCAAGGTGCAGTTGGTGTTCCTCATGATGCCGTTATCTGAAATCTGTTCTCAGTTGTAGTCTGCATGAGTAATTCAGATTTTGGGGAGTTTAGTTTGAGTGGTAATTCTTGGCTCTGTCTGTCCGAAGAGGATGGTACCTTCAGGTGTCTGCTATTCTAAGCATGGTTCCTTCCTTCGTAAACTATCATACTTTCATTCTCTTTACATTTTAGACAGTCTCACACTTAACTTATAAAGCTTAAATATAGCACTGTAATTGCCTTTCTTGCCATGGAACAGGTGCAATGTGTCCCCTCAGCTTGCCTTCTGGATCCAAAGCATTTCTCCTTGTCACCTCTGTGAGGTTTGGCATAATTGAAATGTTACGCATGGATTTTTTTTTGGAGACGTAATCTTGGTGTGCAGTCTAGAATGGTTTAGGCTGGTCTCAAACCCTTGAGCTCAAGTGATCCACCTGTCTCAGCCTCCTGAGTGCTAAGACTACAGGCATGCGCCACCATGTCCGGCTTATTTTATTTTTTAAAATGCCATTTTTTATGTAGTTCCATTTTCCATCCTATGAAATTGTATCAAAGTAAAAGTCTGCTTCCCCAAGCCCTGATCATACGTCTCATGCATAAACTTTTGGTGACCTGCTTGTTTTGGGTATTGGCTGGAATACTAGAAGGAATGGTTCATTTTGAACAGTTTGTACCTTTCTGGAACATTCCCACTCCAGCTCATTGTATGATAGGTGTGGTGTTGTCCTGCTGTCATCTGTTCTTGAACGTGTCTGGTCAAGTGAAGTTGCATAGCAGCCATCTTGGTAGCAGCTTGGCTGCATTCCAAGATTTCATGGGCAATCCTGTCTTGACTATAATGAGTGGATGAAACTGCTGAAGATGCTGGCTGTGGTGTCTGCAGGAGGTTTGTCATTACCCCGACTTTGTGCAGATGGTGTTATGGTTAGCCCACATGGGTTTCCTGTCATAGCCTGTATATTCTCAGTGTGGTTCGCAGTACTTGGTAATGCCTCCAAATGGTAAGCCAATACCACAGTGTGGTTGAAGTAGATGAAACCACTGGAGATCTAGTTCAGATTTGGAGATTTTGATTTTAGAAGTGATAGAAGCTGAATTTCAGCTTAACGAATTCAGCCACTCTGAGGTAATACAGCAAAGCCCTCTCAGGACTAGCAAGATTTAATTAATGTCGGCTCAGCTTTTAAAGTATAAGAGCAGCATTTGTAATCACCAGCTTGTTCATTTGTTGTATGTTCAGATGTTCAAACATTCTTTTGCCATGGTTTGTTTTATTTCAAACACAAGGGGTTTAAAATGATATTCATAAACTTAGTAGCCTGTCCAGTGTTGTCACCTGTTGGTATAAGAAATGGGATCATGATTTTCATAGAGACAGAACAGCTTGGTTCCTCTGCTGCAGCTGCCTAGCTGGTATGGCTGGTGCAAGAGAAATGGAGAGGCTGGTTTCCTGATAGGAATGTCAGCTTCACATCCCTAAGGTCTGGAAATGTGAACTTGTAAATGGGATCAGAGAAGAAAGTCATTGGGGTTTTTTGGAGGGTCAGTCTCTGTGTATTTCTGACCAGTCCTGTGTCTGCAGTTGTGGAGTCCGTGAAGCTCTGAAGGCTGAGCATGGCTTCATGGACTCAGCTGGTGGACACCTTAACTCGGAGCAGGTTTGACTGCTTGTGACTTTATTTATTCCACTTGTGACAATTCCATAGGTTTCCTTGCAGAAACACCCACGTGCTTGGCAGTGAAGTGCCACCCTGGACCAGCATGGAGGTGCGTGCTGAGGTGTGCTAACTTCTCAAGTACCCAGACAAACCCGTAGCTTTCAGATGAGGAATTTTGATCTCTGCTAGCAACTCACAGAAATTGAGCAGTTGTGCTATGCACAATTCTACCTAAAATAAGATGTTGTGCAGCTTTCTTATGGCTTTCTCCTTAATGGCTTTGAGAACCTCTTTGTCTCCACAGTTGTCCTTGGCCTAGAATTTAGTACCTGACTGGATGATAGCTGCCTTGACCTTGTTTCTGCTGACTTGTGTGCATCCATGGCTCTGTGACTTTAACATATGTTCTTTCTTTTATTCTGGAAACCCCTCATCTCTGAAAATTCTCATTCTTCAAGATGGATTTCAGCTTCTTCAACTGTTTCCTGAAGTTTTTCTTGATTATTGGTAGGCCAGAGAGAAGAGTATATGCTTGTGGTTTTAATATAAATATAGCTTGCTTCCCTGGCTAGATTGCTGCACTGTCTTAGCTGAAGGAGGCATGTTCTAACTCTGAGCATTTATACATCTGTCAGGGCAATTTGCATTCATTAGATGTGTTTATTAATGTTGCTTGATTTGGGTGGAGATGGATTGAGGCCCTGATGAAGAGCCAAAATGACTACAATCAAATTGTCAAACTATTTGCTTCTTTTTGGTTACTGTTTTGGCTACTTTATATCTAAGTGGCAAAAGCAAATAATAACACTGGGAGCAGAAAAAGAGGGTGAGGCTGTAGCACGAGGTGTTTTCGCTGGTTGTCAGGATGTACACAGGCCAATATTCATTTTCTTCAGGGCGTGTGCTTGTTTTAGCCTTTTATTTTCACATATTCTTTTACATTTCTGTATTGATTTTCATTTTAAGTACTACTTCAATAAATAACCAAATTTAGCTGTTTATATTTAGAGACTAAAGCATTTTTAATGAAGTAGTTTATTAGTTTAGTGCAGCACTAACCAAGCACCCAGTAGATCTCTTATGCTGTGCTATAACTTAACAGTATTTTATTTAACCCTTTAATACCCAGTGGTGGTGCTGGCTCTCCCTGTTTTGCACTATCACCCAGTGAGTGGTAATAGAGCTTGTATTTGAAATGCAAATCTAACTTCCCATCAGTTTTTATTTGCTGGTCATGTGAGATTTGTAGAAAGCAGAGGAATAAAGGGTCAGTGCTAAATACAAAATAGCGAATTGTGTGAACCAAAAAGTTCTTTTGTAATTGTGACTTTTGGAATTGTTTTTCTCACTGTGATTTTTTCAATTTCATTCTTAATCTGTTCTTCATATTTCATACCCATCCATCTTTCATGTAAGCTGTTCATTTATCAAAAGGAACAGGCAAAAATGTTGCAGGCTGGTATCACTAGTAAATGTAGAATAATTTATATAATTCAGAAAACTTCATTTTAGGTAGCTTTAATGTGCCTTAAGCTTGTGAGAATGTTTTATAATACAGAATTTCTTAGTGGTTTATGGATAAAAAGGTTAATATTTGCGTGTAAGATCACACCTGACACCTTTTTTGGAGTTGGTAGGGGGCTGATGTTCACACAGACATGTTTTCAGCACCAGAATAAAACTTCCGAGACTGATTTTCCTAGTGACAGGCCACTTTGAATGGTAGGAAGAGCCTCATTTGAGGAATTGACCTTGACCTGATGCTTGGGAAGGCTGCACCATCTTTAGGAACAAGTTCAATCAGTACACATTGTTGCAAGTGAGTGTCAGAATTTACACACCTACTCTTTGATAATTGGAAAGAGACTGGTAATTGGAAAGAGAAGAGACGACCTTGTTTTTTGATACTTACTTGCAGAGAGGGCATCATAAATTCCTGGTAGAATACTATTATGATAATAATCTCAGGATTGAAAGATTTGCTGAGACCCTCCCTTTTTTTTTTTTTTCCTTCCCCCATTTTTATTTTTGGAGACAGTATCTTAACTGTGTAGCTCAGGTTGGCCTGGAACTTATTTTGTACATATGGCTGACCTCAAACTCAAGATCTTCCTGCATCTGCCTCCTGAGTGCTGAGATTATAGGCTTATGCCACCATGCCTCTTATCTGCTAATTTTTTGGTGACGTTTGTTCTTTCAATAGTAATAACAAAATTAAAAGCTTAATAAGTAGAAAGAGTCCTAAAAAGACATCAACTCTCTTTGTAAGCTGTATGAATGGATCTCAGTTTCCTTAGATACTAAAAAGGCAGTACTCTCAGGATGAAATAAAATAAGTTGTAAAACAAAATATGTGATAAAATGCAGTGTAATTTGAAAATAAATGTATAAATTTAAAGTGATGATATTTTCAGTTTTGACAGAATTAGTTGCATACTAAATCTAAAGATGACAGGAGTTTTTTGGAAGGAAGAGTAATAAGAGATGGGAGAAAAACCATCAAGAATGGGCTGATGTCACACATTAGAAGCTGTTCTCTTTAAATCATCATGCTATAATGCTGTGAAAGCATTGTGATAAGACAGACTAAGATGACTTGGATTTTGATGCAGTCGGTGGTTGGGCTTGTCATTTTTAAATGCAGTTGAAGGGTAAGGACCTACCTCATTCCTCTTCCTTCTCTCCAAATTCACACTTGAAGGTTATGAACACGGATGGCACTGGAAGGCGAGTGCTTGTGGAAGACAAGATCCCTCACATATTCGGGTTCACGTTGCTGGGAAACTACGTTTACTGGACTGACTGGCAGAGGCGCAGCATCGAGAGGGTCCACAAGCAAAGTGCAGAGAGGGAAATCATCATAGACCAGTTGCCTGACCTGATGGGGCTAAAGGCCACCAATGTTCACCGTGTCATTGGTAAGGAATCCCATAATCTCCAAGAAATGGAAGCTAGGCCTGGACGAGATGGAGAGAGGCAACAGCTTGTGAAGCCTCAGTGATGTTGCTGATGTGTGGAGCCGTCCAGAAACCCATCTCTAACTCTTTTTATGTTGCTGAACTGTTAAATTCATAAATATCGGCTCCCACACACCTCCATCAAAAGAATTCAGTCCTGTTGTGTGAATAATGCACCTTGCTTTAAAGCTTCTTGTGGGTCCAAAGGAAAATGTTTTGCCACTGTTACTCCCTCTTAATCTTCACGTGGCTTGCTCACAGAGTAGAATTGAAGCTCTGGCAGTCTAGAGGAGTACCCTGTCATAGGACTCTGTGAAGCAGATGTTCTGGTTTAAAGGTGGAAATGTGTTGGTTGTGCATGCGTGTGTTCTGTGCCCTGTCGTGACTGATTTGTCTTTCAGGTTCCAGCCCCTGTGCTGAGGAGAACGGGGGATGCAGCCACCTCTGTCTCTATAGGCCCCAGGGCCTCCGCTGCGCCTGCCCCATTGGCTTTGAGCTCCTCAGCGACATGAAGACATGCATCGTCCCAGAGGCTTTCCTTCTGTTCTCACGGAGAGCAGACATCAGACGGATTTCTTTGGAAACAAACAATAATAATGTGGCCATTCCCCTCACTGGTGTGAAAGAAGCTTCTGCTCTGGATTTTGATGTGACAGACAACCGTATTTATTGGACTGATATATCACTCAAGGTTAGCAAAGAAACTGCAGGATTTGTGCTGGGCACTAAAAGGGAGAGCTTCGTTTGTGTGGTTCACACTCTTGATTATTTGAAACAGAAACTTGAAGCCTGAGGTAGAAAGGGCCAATTAAGAGTTCTAGCATCCTTTCTTTCCCTAGAGTAAATATTGAGAAGAATACTAGCATAGAGAGAGGACACTCCTGATGAGGCAGTCTGAAGAAGAGTCTTTCCTTCTCTAGACTCTTGTGGCTTATTTCATATAACTTACGTAAGCCAATGTCCAGTGTGCAAAAAGCCTGAGCTGTAGAAACCAGACAGCTGGATTCTAATGGTGTCCAGTACAGTCTGTTCACTGAATGAACAAATGATGTAAATAAATCAGTATTGGATTTTACTGGGTGGCCTTCTAAGTTTTCTCATCTTACTACAGATAATGCCTGCCTTGCAGGCTGGCCTATTAAATGAGGAAGTCTGGACAGAGAGTATGGGTCAGCACTTGACAGGAAGTAGTGTCTTTTACTAGCTTGCATTGTGATTGTTTTAAATTCTGTGGAACTCAGAACTACAGTGGTGCTAGCACTACTGGTACTGTCTCTTTTGTGAGGTGAGAGCTTGTTGGCACCTTCTCAGTTGACATAGTGAGCTGGCAACTCAAACCCATCAGGAAGCTGACTGCCAACATAGGGTCACAGTGCTCTCTTCTCATCTTTTCCACCTAATTGCTAATACATTTTAAAAGAAAACTCATTCCACTGCCTTAGGACCAACTTTTTTGCAGTACTGGAGATTGAACTCGGCCTCACACTTGCTGATCAAGCACTCTACCCCCGGTCTGCACCCTAGCCCTTTTGCTTTTAGTTTGTTTTTCAAATAGGGTCTCATACTTTGCCCAGATGGCTTCAGCCTGAGATCCTCAGTCTTTGTCTCCCATGTAACTGAGATTACAGGTGTGAATCACTATTCCTGGCTTGTTTTGAGATGCAGCCTCACTAACTTTTGGCCAGGCTGACCCTGGACCGTGATCCTCCTACCTCCACTACCCAAGTGTCTGGGATTACAAAATTGATTCTTTGGGGTTTCAAAGTTTTCTTCCTGATGTGGCAATAAACTCTAATAAACTTGTGTTTAGTAGAGATTGGTGTCAAGTTTTTCTGTGCTTATAAGATTGGTGAATTCTGTTGGGAGACAGTATGCCTCTTAACACTTGGGCATCTTTCTACCCCAACAAGAACCAAACCACAACCTTCTTTCTGTGTTTTATACTTGAGCCATGGCTTACTGTGAATTTTTCTGTAGACCATCAGCAGGGCTTTTATGAACGGCAGTGCACTGGAGCACGTTGTGGAATTCGGCTTAGATTACCCAGAAGGCATGGCAGTGGACTGGCTTGGGAAGAACTTGTACTGGGCAGACACAGGGACTAATCGAATCGAGGTGTCAAAGCTGGATGGGCAGCACCGGCAAGTCTTAGTGTGGAAAGACCTGGACAGCCCCAGGGCGCTTGCGCTGGATCCTGCTGAAGGGTGAGTGGGCCGCATCTGTGTGCTTTGTGCAGCCACACTACACATTTGAGGAACTTGGCCTACCCATGGCACAAGGAATGCCTACTAGTAATCTCACAGCTAGACGATAGGCTTGTTTTTAAAATTTGAGATGCCACTGATTTATGGTATTAGCTCAGTTTCACTTCTAGCATTGTTCACATTGGATAGCGAAAGCATCTCACTGATCAGTATTTCTGTGCTGAGTAAACAGTCTGTATTTGTTTGTGGCCCATCCGCAGTCACACTAGACTCCAGTCTGCTGTAGTAACCTCACTGAAACAATGTAGGGTGCTAAGAAATAATTACACACATCCCCTGTAGCCAGTTTCAGTTACCCATGGTCTAGAAATATTACATGAAAAATCCAGACATAGTAATTCATAAATTCTGTATGACCTTTGTTAAAGTAGATTGTTAATTCTTTTCTGTTTTATTTTTCATCTCTTACTGGGCCAAATTTATAAATTGAATTTTATCATAGGTATGTATAGGACAAAACATGGTATATATGGAGTTGTTATAATCCTGGTTTCAGTATCCGCTGGGGTCTTGGAATGTGTCCCCACAGGCAAGAGGGGATTATTGTATGTTTTTAAAAGTCTGTTTATTTATGGTGCTGGGAATTGAACCCAGGGCCTTGCACAGAAAAGCTCCATTTTACATTATCCATTAATCTAAGGTGGAAAGTTAGTTTGATCACTATTACAAACTTGGAGAAGCTTTGGTATGATGAGATACACTAAACTGTTTATTTGTAACATGACATGCTTTTCAAGGTTAGGTGGTTTTTCTTTAAAAAGTGAGCATGTTTCAAATACCTAGCAGCTAAGACGTCTGAAATGTGAAGAAAAAATCCACTTTTAAAGGAAGTCAAACCCAGTACCGCCAGGAAAAAAAAATTCAGAGCAGCTGCCTTTCTCCCGTCAGCCTCCAGTAGTGCTGAGAAGGGTAAAGGGAGCTGACAGGCAGTGATGTTCCTGTGCTGTGTTCCCTGAGGGGCCCAGAGAAGACGCTGAGGCTGGCATCCAACAGCTTAGTAGCCGAGGGCTTTGGGTGTTGAGAATGCTGGTGTCTGTGGCTGTGATTTCACAGTTCTGGCTGAGACCTCAGCGGGGGTGGGAGGGGGAGAGTTCAGGAGTCAACAGTGTGAACATAAAAACATACTGGCCATATCTGAATTTAAAATAGCTTCCATGAAATCACTACATTAAGCCCATGATTAGCTAGTGTGATCCATCTAGTTGGAAGGCCATATTGAAGACAGCTTCTCTGTGCTGACACGGTGGGGTTGTGGTGACCTTTGCTCTAAGCATTGGTTGCCAGTCAGATAAATTTAGCAGTTGGAACCAAGGACTCCAGTGTAAGTTGCTGCTGCAAGTGTAAAATTTCTCTCACAGTTGTTTCTCTCTGGCTCCTACAGTGTACACATGCCTGTCAGCTGACAAGTACAGGTGCAAACAAAGCCTGGCACAGCTTTAATTTTTAGAAAAGCATTCTGATACATTGCTCCCAAGTCAGCCATCAGCTAACAGGCTGGCGAGGGCATGTCTGTCCTCAGGTGTTTTATGTTAGCTGGCATGGGGAGTGCTTTCCTAGTGCCAGCTTTCAGTGTCTCGAACACTAGCGCCTCCCTAGTTTAGAGCTTAAAGATTAGGACCTGGCTCTAGCTCTGCCATGTGACTGGCTTGGAAATGAGACCAGTCATGATGTTTCTTTTCTTTTGCTTCAGTCTCTCTGTCTGTAAAAAGCCTAGGCTGAGGGTAGCTCTGAAATTAAAGTGAATAAATCAAAAAAGTGAAGGAGAAGCAAGAATATTTTTAAGTTTCGCAGGTATCATAGCAGTGGTGTTCGTTGCAGCCGATATAGCACGGTCTCATTGTTCTCATCCATACACTGTGCTCCCTTGGATTGCATGACCACATAGGTTTTCAGGCTTTGCTTTTGATGTTTGCTTTTTCAAGGCCACTGTTTATTTTACATTTGCTGTACTCTCACAGTTTGTTTTTTCGGAGAGTTGATTACACAAGTTGAAAGTAAGTTCAACATTTTAAATATTGAAGTTATTTGTATTCAGAAATACAAGAAGATATCTTTCAGCTAGAAGTGAACCAGATTCAGTTGGAAGCCAGAACTTTCATTCCTTGCTGTTTGCTTGGACATTAGTTTTAGAAATGTCAGTGCTGCAATAAAGAAGCTATTGGTTTGTTTCCAGTCCTAGGTTTGGCTGGATGGAACACATTCACTGAAAAGACTAAGGAGAGCTGCCTCACATCCTTTTTGGGATGTGAGAAAATGTAGTTCATTGAAAGTAACAAAATAGTAGAAAGGATTGTAATCGTAATTTTATTTTACTCATTTGTTAGATATATCGTATATTTCTTTAAATTTATTTAGTTATTGTGCATGAATAAAATCCTTCCCCTCAGAAGATCAAATGGTGAAATGTGGAATACCTATTGCTTTAATTCAGATTTATGTACTGGACCGAGTGGGGTGGAAAACCTAAGATAGACAGAGCTGCTATGGATGGAAGTGAACGGACCACGTTAGTTCCAAATGTGGGGCGGGCCAATGGCCTAACTATTGACTATGCTAAAAGAGGCTTTACTGGACAGACCTGGACACCAACTTAATAGAGTCTTCAAATATGCTTGGTAAGCTTCACTGCTTTCTGTTCAGGTAATGTATTCTTCATGCATAAATCCTACATACTGTTAGGATAACTGTGAACGTCTAGCTTCTTTCCCTGGTCTGCACTTGTATCCTTTTTTTAGTAGCCCAGTTCCTTGGATTCATCTCTTTAGTATGCAGAAATGTCATTATTGTTGGATTTGTACTGATACTTGTAATTCTGTATATATTCCTGAAGTGATTTTTTTTGTGTCCGTTATATGTATTATATACATATATATTTGTAGAAAGAAGAAGAAACATTGAACCATAGGCCCATATGTAGAGAAAACAAAACTGGAATCAAAGTAGACCATTTACAGGAGTTGAAACAAAATCAGTGATTTATAGCAGGAATCTGAGTTGGGGCCTAGGATTGGAATGCAGAAAGATTGATTTCAGGGGACTGGTGTCTGGTTTTGGAATTGCTTTTAAATGCATTGTTCTTTTTTAAATTGATTACAAATACGATGTTTTATATGTTAGGGTTTTTTTGGCCAACAAGACACTTGTCAGTGTCACATATTTCATCCTATGCTTTTCCCCTGTCTACTGACTTTCCAAAACTAGGACTCAACCGTGAAGTGATAGCAGATGACTTGCCTCATCCTTTTGGCTTAACTCAGTACCAAGATTACATCTACTGGACAGACTGGAGCCGACGCAGCATTGAGCGAGCCAACAAAACCAGTGGCCAAAACCGCACCATCATTCAGGGCCACTTGGATTACGTGATGGACATCCTCGTCTTCCACTCTTCTCGGCAGGCAGGGTGGAATGAGTGTGCTTCCAGCAACGGGCACTGCTCCCACCTCTGCTTGGCTGTGCCAGTTGGAGGTTTTGTTTGTGGGTGCCCTGCCCACTACTCCCTGAATGCCGACAACAGGACCTGTAGTGGTAAGCTGCATTTCCCCCAAAGCAAATGAGATTATAAGAGAAAGCGCTTCAGTCTGCTCTTTTGTGGACCCAGCTTTGGTTGTTTGTTTAGTTAAAACGAGGATGAGATGCAAATCTCTGTCACTTACTTGATGATAACAACTTGATGTTGCAGTATAAGTCTTTTGCCTCTGGGCATTAAGCATTTAGTGCAAAATATGCATAGTGTTAAAGTTGTGTGTGTGCCACATTCACATGTATGTATTCATTATAAAGGAGAGGATGAGCAGCACAAATAGCACAACAAAGAGAATTCCAGAATCCTTTGTCTTTTGAAGTACAAACAAAAAATTATCTGAAAATTTAATGTAACATGAAACAGTAGTTGGAAGCTGGGGAAACAGAGTGTGTGTGCTCTAGATGTAGCAGGCGGTGGCTACCAACTCCACTTACGGGCCAGGTCTTCTCATCCAGTCACCAGTCCAAGTTTTGCAGTGGGAGGTGGTCTTCAGTATTTTTTTCATTTTTAAATATTGGCAAATAATTCACATTACACACAAACACAGTGCTAACAACAAAGTAAGAAAACAGTGTTGGTTAGGGGAAACGTGATCTATGCCTTAAGTGTACATGAATACCCCACGTCTTGGTGGACACCAAAACAGGTGGTAGATATGTTCAAGAAATCAGAAGAGACATGGGAGAAATTAACTTCCAGGATGTTGTATTTAGTTAACTCTTGATGTGATTCTGTCTATGGCTTAGAGAATGCATTAGAAATCACCTGGGAGAGTATTTCTGTTTACTAATACAAGCTCAGTGATGACACAGAGAGCGAGTAAGCATGTGGGTTAATGATTAAGAGTTATTACTTTGGAAACTGCCACCCATTAGATTTTTGCTTTATGTAAGCAACAAAAAATTTTAAGCCTTAACTTTTCTTGTTTAAAAATAGAGATAATAACTACGTTATTATAGGGTTGCAAAGATTAAGTAAGATACGGGAGCCGATTGCTGGGAAGAAGGGCAGCAGGGAAGTCAAGACAAGCATGGGTGTGCTGGTAGAACTGGACTGTGGGAGTAGCAGTGCTAGCAGTCGACGCTGATGGACTCCAGGTGTACCTGAAGCTACAGTGATTAGAACTTAGTGGTGGGTTCTGTGTGGAGAAGAAGAGAGAGCAACAGGATGGTTTAGATATCCAGAGTGGATGGACTATGAGAGGAAAGAGAGGAGGTAGAAGTGTAAGTTTTGGAAATGCCAGGATGTATTTAGGGTGAATGAGGTCACCTAGGGAGAAGATGTAGTGTAGGACCCAGTAAACCTTTTCTGTAAAGAACCAGATAGTAAATATTTTAAGATTTGTATAGGCTCTGTCACGCCTACTCAAGTTGTTCCCGACTCTGTCCCCACACTAGAGTGAGAGCATCCATAAACAGCATATTTTTTAAATGGACGAGGCTGAATTCCAGTAAAACTTGATTACAAAAACAGGAAGCATGCCAGATTTGGTTTATGGAACATAGATAGCCAACTCCTGGAGAGAAAAGAAGGGACCTGAGGAAAAGTGCACAGGACACTGAAAATTGGCACAGTCAGAAAAGTAAGAAGACAGAGGAGAATCAAGACAGAAGAGAAGAGATAAAAGGTTGCTAAAAAAAAAAAAATGTCAGGCTGGGCATGGTGGCTCCCAGCTGTAATCCCAGGTACAGAGATTAAAGGGATTGCAGTTCAAACAATCCTTTTTGCCCAGGCAAAAAGTTCACAAGACACCATCTCAACAATAAAAGCTGGACTTGATTGCATCCACATCCAGCCATGTGGGAAGCATAAATAGGATTGTAGTCCTTCCTGGTCCAGGCAAACACAGGACCCTATTCTAAAATAACTAAAGCAAAAAGGGCTATGGTATAGCTCAAGGGCTAGAATGTCTGTGTAGCAAGTGCAAAGCCCTGAGTTCAATCCCTAGTATCACCGCCCCCCCCCAAAAAAAAACACAACTGTTGATGCTGCTGGGAGGTCAGGTGAGACAAGGTTATAATAATACCCACTTTATTTTTGGCTAATGTGGTTTTTAGTAATTTTGAAGAGAGTGATTTCAGGGAAGTGATAAGTGATAAAAGGAAGGCAGTGGTGTACATGGATATCTCTTTCAAGAAGTTTGTCTTTGCGTGGACGGAGACAGAGGAGTAATAACTGACGGAGAGATGGAAACAGCCACGGAAAGGCCCTCTGAGACCATTGTTCTCTTAGCTGCTTAGCTCGGTCTTGTTGGTGAGTGAAGGCTGGGAAGTCATTGCTCAGTGTCCCCAGTCTCTGTCTGTTGGTGTCTTTCTGAGCTGGGTGAGCAGTGCTTCAGGAGGCTTCCTGTGTGCTCTTGGTGTAATGAATACTACTTGGTATTTGTGTAAAAACTGATTAGATTCAAGGCACATTATAAGAAGTTTCATACAAAGTTCTTGTCTTCAAAAGTTTTCCAAGATGATGTGGTTGTATCCTTGACCTGTTTTAGAAGCTAAGTCAGAACATCTTGTTTCTGTGCTCAAAAGTTCCTTGCTCCCCATTCCACACAGGAAAGCCCCAGCAATCGCAAGGCTGGCAGGTCCTCCATGATCAGCACCCTGCTTCATGGCACTTTCTCCTCTCCCACTCTTCCCCACCCCTCAGTTTTTACTTTCCTGTCCTTGCTTTTCTGCACAGCAGCCCCACTGGCCTCCTTGCTGGGTTCAGATATGCCAGTAATCCTGTTTTAGGAATGTCAGGCTGCTTGTTTCCCCTGTCTGGAATGTTCTTCTTGCATGTCTTTGTGTGGTGTCCTTCACCCTCAAGTCTGTACTGAGCTGTGCCCTGCAGAGTGAGACCTGGACTGCACTACCTACCACCACAAGTTACCTCTCCACTTACCCAGCATGGCTCGCACCCCTTACCTGGACTTCCTTTCCTGGAGCGTTTACCTCTTTGTGTATGGGTAATTTACATAATTTACTGTTTAGAAACTATAACTTCTTTCTGTTTGTTTTTCTGACTGCCTGTTAGAATAATTCATGAAGCAGTAGTTTTTTCTGTTTTCTTCACTCATGTGTCTTAGGTTCTAGACTGTGCTTGCAAATGCATTGTGGGCACTCAGGAAGTGACTGTTAAATAAACAGTGAAGAAGCAGGGAAGTCTGGGAAACACGTGCCCTTCCACTCAATGGCTGTTTCCTCTGGACAGACACAAGCATGGCTGGACTTGAGTGCCTGCTCAGTGTCCTTGGCACCATGCTGAAATGGCACAGTCATGTGTGGTGGGCATGGCCTTGTAGTTTATTTGGTTCTTATGTAAGAGCAGCGCCTTCCTTCCACCTCCAGGTGAAATCTCCCTTCTGCTTCCACCTCCCCCTTTGTATGTGGTGCTGTCCTCATTTCGGGAAAGCACATTTCACATCACCTCACTGGCAGCGCAAGTTTTAAAAGCATCATTCTGTATGGGAGTGGTCGTTAGAGATAGGACAGGACGGATTAGGCTATTCAGGGTCACTGAAAGCACTGACAGTAAACCTTTTAGCTTCCTTGCAGAAATAGTGCTGTTGGTAATTGTTAATATATTTGGAGCCACACTTGATTTCTTTTACTATTTTGTTTTCTTTTTTTTCATTTATTTTGAGACAGAATGCTGCTCAGGCTGGTCTTGAACTTTTTGGTTCAAGCCATCCTCCCCCCTCAGCCTCCTGAGCATTGAGCTTTCAGTGTGCACCACTGCTCCCTGCCTTTGGCTTTGTCTTAATGCATAATTCTAGAACAAGATCTGCACCTAAACTGGAATCTTATTAAAGGTTTAAACTTGACTTGGACAAGGAATACCCAGTAAAATATACTAGGGGCCAACTGTGTGTTTGGTTAATTGCTTCCCAGAGAAGAACATTTGAGAATTAAAACTTCTAAATCTCACTGTATGTCTCAGTGCAAGTGATGCTTATTCTGCTAGAAACAAAACTTCATCTTTCCTTCTTTCTCTTTAAAAACTTACTAAGAAAGTAGTACTGTCCAAAAAAAAAATTTTGAAAAAAACCAGCGAGAGGCTTTCCAGCTGCTGTATGTGAAATGTGTTCTTCAGGCATAGACTACTAAAATTGCTAGAAGTTGTTAAGCCAGTCTGTGATGGAGTCCAGGTGATGGAGATTTCCAGCAGGTGATTGGATACTTTCTAAGTGCTCCAAGCTGGGTGTGGGCTTTAACTAATGAAGAACTAAATGAAGCAGAATTTCATTTAGTGATGAAGAGTGCCAGCAAGTTCCTGTGGGACTTACACCGTCACACACGGAGTGTAAGTGTAAAAGTCCTCCCAGAACCACAGAGTGGAGCTGTGAAGAATGGGGCTCATTAGGCAGTTCAGATCCCTGAGGGAGACATGATGGCTTGGGACATAGGTGGAGACTGAGCACCAGTGGAGTTGGAGCATCATGGGGGGATTTATGTATGTACACAGTAGTCCCCCTTGCAGTTTCACTTTACATAGTTTTAGTGACCTGCAGTCAACTTCCATCCGGAAACATTACTGATTCATAAGTTTAAAATTGCATATAGTTCTGAGTAGCAATGAGCTCTCTCTCCGTTCTGCGGGGAACTGGAACCATCCCGTGCCCAGCACATCCAGGCTCTGGGTGCCACCCGCCTGCTGTCGGGTCAGCTGTCACAGTATTGCAGTGCTTCTATTCAGGTAACAATTATTTTATTTAGCAGTGGCCCTCAAACACAAGAGCAGTAACCTGGCAATTTCATCACAAAATATATTGTGATTCTGTTTTATAATTAGATGTTAATCTCTTACTAGGCCAAATTTATACCTTAAATTTTATGATGGTGTGACCCAAGCAGTAGAGCATGTGCCTAACAAGCACGAGGCTCTTAAGCTCAACCCCCCCCCAGTACCACTACCACCTAAAAACAAACGAACAAACAAAAACACAAAAAATATTCTCATAGGTCTGTATTTATAGGAAAAACGTAGTAGACATAGGATTTGGTATTATCTAGGGTTTCACACATTTGCTGGGAGTCTTGCATTGTATCCCTCTGCCAAAGGGGATGATTGTATTTTAACGATGATTTATAAATGCTGTTAGACTTTACCGTTGTTGGCAGTACTCTCAAATGCTTCTTTTCTACATGTTTTCAGGTACTAAAGGTAACTGCATCATAATCAGAGACCTAGTCACTGATAAATGAAAAAGCACCTTCCATGCATTTTTCCATTATTATTTTTCATGTGGTGTTGGGGATCAAACCCAGGGCCTAGTACATCTTAAGCAAGTCCTCTACCATTGAGCCACGTATCTGCTATTACTAGTTTTTTGGCAATTCTTACTTCCTCTCTCTCCCTGCAGCCATCACCTACACATAAAGCAGAAAAATCTATCTTTTCTATGTCTTTTATCTAATGCTTCATGAAATCTAGTATCCTATGGAGTATCTGCAAGATGAAGGAAAATAGGCTAGTTGGCTGTGTCATTGAATAAATTGATAACTAGCTTGGGAACTGGAGTGCTGATGAGTTTTACTCTGAAGTACCTCTAGGGACATGCCAAAGACTGCTGTCCTTGGCCTTACTGTGTGTGTTCTGTAAGACACGTGTATAGCAGGCTGATCAGGCTTGGGGCGTGGCTGTAGTGGTAGACTGCTTGTCTCCAAGCAAGGCCTTGATTTCAAGCCCTAGTACCCCAATAAAGCAAGACACAAAACAGCAGGCTGGTGACGTCCTTGGGTGGTGCGGAATTAAAGTAACCATATTTCAGACTCACTCTTTTCTTTCTTTAAGCTCCCACCACGTTCCTGCTCTTCAGTCAGAAGAGTGCCATCAACCGCATGGTGATTGATGAACAACAGAGTCCTGACATCATTCTTCCTATCCACAGCCTTCGGAATGTCCGGGCCATTGACTATGACCCACTGGACAAGCAGCTCTATTGGATTGACTCACGACAAAACATGATCCGAAAGGCACAAGAAGATGGTGGCCAGGTAATGTAGGACCCCATTCAAAATCCATAAACCCAGTCTTCTGACTAGTAACTGAAGTAACCAACCACATGATTTCATTTGACTCTGTTGGGGGTGGGGTGGGAGAGAATGAATCCTGGAGCTAGTAGCTTTTATTCCTGAAAGTAATTGCTTACTCTGAGTAAATAATTTTTTGACAATGGTATTAGGGAAAAAATTGTATTAAGATGACTTGAGCTCATTTATAGGTAATGACTTAGGATGTCACTCACATCCTTTCCTGTAGTCTTCTTCATGATATGGTCTATTGTATGAAGTGTTAGAAATTTTGAAGTCAAATAGGCTTTACTCTGGTCCAGTGGTATTGTTAGAAATAGTCAAATTGCTTATAACCTATTATTTAAAAGGTTCAAAGAATAGAAAATGTATGATAGTCTCGGTAAAGTTAAAAACATCTTGGGTGTTTCATTGACTCAGTACTATTTTTTAGTAAATATTGGTGACTGCGGGATGGAGGATATTACCCATCTTCTCTATCCCTGCTCGAGTCCTGGCCATGTGGATTGTAGCCCCAGCTAGTTGCTTTTAGAGTAGTGTTGCTCAAATGCAGCACCATTGACATTTGGGATTAGATGATTCTTTGTTGTGGGGCTGCCCTATATGCTGTACAATGTTAGGCAGCATCTTGGGCCTCTGCCCTCTAGATGCTATAATATTCCCACAGTCGTGACAATCCAGAATGTCTCCAAACATTGCCAAATGCCCCCAGTTGAGACTCCTGCTCTAGAGGGATTTCTGGGGTCTGGTTTCTAGCCACAGTTGTCTACAACTTACAGGGGACAGCTGCCACCTTCTCTGTCTCGTCCGTAATTAAGGCATTATCAGGCCCCTGGAGCAACTAGTCTGTCCTCAGCTCCCTCTTCTGCTCCTGGTCCTAGTAACAGAAGGGGACATTTGAGATGGTGTGCCAACAAAGAAGCACTTTGCCCGTGAAAACTGTATCTGTAAGAAACACTCCTTGACATTTGAGAGATCCTTTTGAGGCGTGACACAGCCACACAGGAGTAAGCATTGTGAGTGGTCACCTTAGGGCTGTCTGGTGCGGAGTTTAACTTTATATGTGTGTCTGTTTCTTTCCTTAGGGCTTTACTGTGGTTGTGAGCTCAGTTCCAAATCAGAACCTAGAAATACAACCCTATGACCTCAGCATTGATATTTATAGCCGCTACATCTATTGGACTTGTGAGGCTACCAATGTCATTACCGTTACAAAATTAGATGGAAAGTCAATTGGAGTGGTGCTAAAAGGCGAGCAGGACAGACCTCGAGCCATTGTGGTAAACCCAGAGAAAGGGTATGTTGCTGCAGTGCTCCGGCGAGCTGCTCCATCCTCTCCATCCTCCCGTCTCTGCATTGCTTCCAGCTTTCTGGTGCTTTCTCTGGTTCATTGTCTAGAATTTCTTCCCTGGTTTAGTTCTAAATTTTACATAAACACCCAGGACCATTCGGACTGCCGCATCCTCCATGAGTTTCCTTTGGTGTCCACACCCCAGCCCGACATAACATCCCTTCCCTGTGTGCCCAACGCTCTGTGTGTGCCTCACTGCTCACACTTACCCTTTCCAGTTTGCCTTCTACATGACTGTTCTCAGTTGCTTACTTCTTAGTAGGCCTTAGGTTCCTATGTGAAGAACTAATGTGTCTTCTTTCATTTAGTACAGAGCTCTGCATTTAATAAACAGTCAATGCTCAGTGGCATCTGAATGAGTGGAAAGGAATTCAGGGCGAATGGCTTACTTCAGAGGCGTTACAGGAAAACCTGTCAGTTAAAAATAAGAGTAGATTCACATGTGGCTTATTTATAATTATTAAATAGATCAGCTAGAGAAGAGACTTAAAAGTTTTGAGTCCAAGTATCTCTGGTCACTGATTTTTAAGTTACCCTCTTGCTCTGAGGGCGTGTGCCTGTGTCTCATAGTGTTAGGTTAATCTGTGCCAGTTAGCTCCAGGATACTCTCAATACTGTTATCAAAAGTAGGGAAAGTATCCTGTAGTGTTTTCAAAAGTACACTTGTAGGAGGGAGAGAGGACAGAGGAAAGGTGGATGAGTTGGTAGTAAGTTGCAGTTAGATGGGAGAAAGGTGTCGTGGTATGCCTTGCATGGTACAGTGACTGGCCATTGCAGTCGTGTACTGTGCATCTCAAAATGCTAAAGAAAGGATATTTCCAATGGTCCTGCCAGAAAGAAATGATAAATGCTTAAGATACATGTTTAACCTGATCATGCAGTATGTACATATATGGAAATGTCACATTACCCCATTAATACATACAGTTTTGTGTTTTTATGGATCAGTTAAAAAAATAAGTTTAGTAATAGATTTATGCTGAGTGTGGCTGTGTGTGCCTGTCACCCCAGTATGGGAGGCTGAAGCAGAAGGCTTGAACTATGTAGCTTAACAAACAAAATAAATGAAACAAAAAGCATTTAAAAGTAAAACTTAAGATACTTACCTCCCCACTTACTCTTTTTATGTTGCCGGGCATCAAACCCAAGGCCTTAGTGTGCCAGGCCAAGTTCTCTCCCATGGAGCTGCATCACCACCCCACCTCCGTTTGTCTTAGTCAGTACGAATGGTCTCGGTTTTCGTGGTCTTTTACTTAGGTAACTTACTGTTTCTCCAATCTCTTTAGGTACATGTATTTTACCAATCTTCAGGAACGATCTCCCAAAATTGAGCGGGCTGCTTTGGATGGAACGGAACGGGAGGTTCTCTTCTTCAGTGGCTTAAGTAAGCCAATCGCGTTGGCTCTTGACAGCAGGTTAGGCAAACTCTTCTGGGCTGATTCCGATCTCCGTCGGATCGAAAGCAGTGATCTCTCAGGTACCCAACAAGTGTGTTTCTGCATTGTGATTTGAGCTTGTAAGATCTGTCAGTAGCATTTGTGTCGTTCTTGAGTTGTATTATTTTGTATTAAGTTGGTTGGGGAAGAGCTTTTCTTCAGCCATCAACACCATTACTCCCTACTCTTGTCTAGTTGTCTGCCGATTTTCTTGATCTATCAGTAATACATTTCAAATGTATGTCTTCTCCTTTGTTGTTTTGCTCTAGTGTATGTTCTCATCTTTGGCCTGAGTTCTAGCCTAGGACTGGTCTCCTCTCTGCCCATTTTTCCTTATGAAATTTTACATACATAAACTTCCACAGACATAATTTCACATATGCAAACATTTTTCTAAAGCTGTATGTGCTCTTCACAATTCTGTTTTCCTCCTTTTCTTTCCCAGAGGTGGTGGATGTTTTTCTTCTCCATGCATATTTTGGGGTATTTGTGTGTGTGTTTTGCCATATACACACATGTACTTAAACTTTATTCGCTTTTTAATTTAAATTTTTATATAATGAAAAATATTTATATAATAAAAACAAATATAAAATAATAAATGTTATAAAAATTTGAATTAAAAAGCAAAAGAAAGTTTAAATTTGTATATGTATATATATTTTAATATTAATTGTACATACCCAAACATTGTATACACATATGAATAAAAAATAAATAAATAAATAAAATTAAAAAAAAATAATTGTACATACTCTTTAGAACTTTTTTTTTTTCCCAGAAAAACCACGATTTTGAGATTAAGGTTGATTCACAACTGTGTCACTTATTTTCAAAGCTAAATCATATCGTGTGACTATTCTACAGATTTTCTATTGTGTTGTCATCTGAACTGTCCAGCTTTTTTGTCACAGTGCTGAAGTGAATGTTCCTGTGCTCACATCTGAACATTTCTCTGTGGCTCAAAACCAGTAGTGGAATTTCTGTATTAGAGACAGAGAGAGCGAGAGAGAGAGAGAGAGAGAGAGAATGAATGTGGGTTGCTCTCCAAAGTGATTGTGTTGATTCACAGTCTCGTCAGCAGTACGTAGAGTTCCATTCCAGCACGTGGTTGTGTCAGGTGTATAGATTTTTGCGAATCCCTTAATTTGGAAGGTGTATCACATTAATAAATGTCCATTAGCTTGTTTGCTATTGAGATTTAACAAAATCTGTTCTGTATTTACTGATAATTCCCATCTCCTGAGAATTGCTATTCATACTCCTAGCCAGTTTTTATTTGTTGCTGTTGGTTTTGATGTAGGGTCTTGCTACGTTGCCCAGGCTGGCCTTGAGCTGGGATCTTCCTGCCTCAGTGTCTTTAGTAGCTGGTATTACAGGCATATGCCACTGTGCCTAGCTGCCATTTTTCTATTTTTGGCTTCTAGAATTTTTTATGCATTCAGCATAAAACCTATTAAGTTGCATAGGTTGGAGGAGAACCGACTGTTTTAGTGTCTCATTGACTTCACAGGCTGCAGGAATTTGGCTTTCTTTGGGCTACTGTATCATTATCCTTGGTCTGCCCTTTCTCCATCTTCCTAATTTCATTATTGTTTTGTCTGCTCTTACTTACTTCTCTGTTCCTTTGTCCTTACAGGTTTATAACTTAGACTTATTTTTTCATCACCACCATTTTAGTACAGCTTGAGAAGAGAGCATTGTTAAACTTGCTCTTACTTGATGACAGAGCTGAGTGGTGGTCTAGGAGTGTCTCCCATTGTCACACTTTCTGTATTTATTAAAACTTAGCATTATTCTCACTGAAAAAGCAGAAAACTAATTGCTTGGAATTTTCCTTGCTATTCCTAGAATGTACTCTAATGTCCTTTCTGAGTGCACTCAGTACTTGGAAATCCTGACAACGTTATGTATTCAGGGGACTTTTGAGAAGAAGAGTGGAGGAAGAGTGGATGTTTTTCCTTTTGGATGAGGGAAACTGTGAATAAAGGGGATGGGTGTGGACAGATTTCAACCACTGTGTGAAAGAATTTTCTCACTGTCCAACAAGATCGCATCACAAACTGCCTCTCCAGAGTCTGGGTAGCTTTGTGTCTAGGGTGTTGTAGGAATAATTCTTACCTTGGACTGAGGCTTAACCCAGGCAACCTGCGGGTCACTTGTAGTTGTTTTTGTTGGAAATACTGGGGTTTGAACTCAGGGCCTCCCACTCGCTAGGCTGGTGCTCTACCTCTTGAGCTACCCTGCCAGTCCCAATCTCTTATGTTTTGCTGTGTTCTGAGGAGCTAGGTGGGGTGAGGGTGGAATTGTTTTGCACAAGAAAATCTGCAACTCTTAAGTGCTTTCTTCATAGTATTTATTTACGGCGTATTGGGTACCTTGTTACTCTTGCTTGCACTCGAATGTCTGCTTTCTTGCCTATTTTCTGCAGGTATGTGTCTTCTCAGCATGACTTTCAGCTTTCTGGCAAAGAGCTTAGGCTTTCATTCCCGTGTGTTAGACTCTAGTTGGTATCAGTGAATAATTGGTGAGAGTCTTACTTGACCATGTGAGTCATTGCTGACAAGTGTCCTCCTTTCCAAGGTGCCAACAGGATAGTGTTAGAAGACTCTAACATCTTGCAGCCCGTGGGGCTGACCGTGTTTGAAAATTGGCTCTACTGGATTGATAAGCAGCAGCAAATGATTGAGAAAATTGATATGACAGGCCGAGAAGGCAGGACCAAAGTCCAGGCTCGAATCGCCCAGCTTAGTGATATTCACGCAGTAAAGGAGCTGAACCTTCAGGAATACAGTAAGTGCTGGTGGTGTTATGCTAACTGGAGTCTTGGTTTGTTGTAAGAAACTAAGATGTACTTCTTTGTCTTCTCAGCTTCTTTTGTCTTCAGGATTTTACTTCGGTTCACTGGGAACTTTTCAAATTAAGCATCTCCTCATAAAGCAGGCGTGAAGGAAAGGCAGGGTCTTGTTCATTTTAAAATAATTCTTGGGCTGAGATGTAGGTCAGTGGTAAGAGGGCTTGCCTAACATGTAGGAGGTCCTGAGTTCCAGCTGCAGTAACGTAAGAAACAAAAGGACACAACTCTTAAGTACACCAGTGACTGCCTCTCATGATTTACCTTCATCGTCTTGAACACCAGCTCGTCAAGGTACTGATAGGGCTGAGAGCATTGTTTTAGTGGTAGAGCACCTTCCCAGCAAGCACAAGGCCCTGAGTTCAAATTCCAGTACTATTAAAAAAAATTTAAAAGGCCGGGCAGCAGTGGCTCACGCCTGTAATCCTAGCTACTCAGGAGGCAGAGATCAGGAGGATCACAATTCAAAGCCACCCTGGGCAAATAGTTCACGAGACTCTATCTTGAAAAAAATCCATCACGAAAAGGGGGCCGGTGGAGCGGCTCAAGATATAGGCCCTGAGTTCAAACCCCAGCACCGCAAAAAAAAAGACACTGGTAACATAAAGCTTGTATTTCTTTTTCCCTCTGTACCCCTTTAGTTTGAACAAAAGTAAAAATTACATTTTGCCCTCTAGATACAATTTTCAGTTCTCAATTTAGAAAAGTAGCTATACTGCTTTATTTTTTGAAAATGCCTAATCCTTTTTGACTTAATTTCATGTTAAGATATGGGTAATCAAAAGCACTCTTAGAGCAGTGGCTTTTCTAGGGTCTTCCATGATGCTACCAGGAGTGCTAATGTTGACTAAGGGATTGGAGAGAGAACTACTTCTAAGTGGAACTGCAGCAAGAAGGAGTAAAGGAGTGAGAGGCGTGGTTATTCACCACAGTGTTCATCGTGTTGCCACATTCATGAATTTCAAGTAAAGTTAGAGCTATTTAACAACTAGAAAGTTGGAATTTTGTCTTTATGCTATAACATATGCTGAACATTTAACAGGAATAAGGTAGTGATGACAATTGTTCCTAAGTTACTCAGTTGATATATGAAGATTTGGTTTTTCAGAATGTATCAATGGATGTTTTTAGAATTTCAGGGGAGAATTTCTATAACAGTGTATTTTTCTTTTATGTTTGGGAAAACTTTTTGAAATTTCTAGTAACAGAAGAGTTTTGCTTATCAAAAGTATTGTGGAATTGAAAGGTTGAGAAACACTGCTACAGGTTGTTGGACACTGTAGAATAATAGGTGGTGTCTTTTGGACAGTATGCTCATTTGCAAATAATTGGCACTCAGTCTCATCACCACAAACTGATCATGTTACTGTAAGTGATGACCACATTAGACGTTGACATTTTGTAATGGAGGGTCAACTTGCTTGTAGCACAAACTAACAAGAAAATCAGAGCAGTGATTTCCATAACTACAACCTGTGAAACAGACTTTGAGAAGTTGCTGATGGTTTGCTTCTATACCACAGCTCAAATAAGAGGACATGAGACACTTGTCACATTGCACATAACCTTTGCAGTTGGCCGGGCAAATAACTCGTCCATTTCTGAGTGGTTGTGTGCCATGTAGTGCAGCTTTTCTTCTGAGCTTAATATGCCATGAATTCCACATTAAAATACTTTTCTTTAAGTGAAATCATGTTATCATTTAGAAAGATAGAATTTCTGAGTTGAAATCTTTTCTTTTTGGTGGTACTGGTAGTGGTGGAACTCAGGGTTCAAACCTGCTTGCTAAGCAGGTGCTCTACTGTGTTAGCCACTCCATCAGTTCTTTTTTGTATTTTGGGTATTTTTGAGATAGAGTGTTGCAAACTATTTGCCTGGGGCTGGCTTCAAACCTCAGTCCTCCTGCTCTCTGCCTCCTGAGTAGCTAGGATTACCTTAAGTAGAATAAAGTCCAGGTCTCTGTGGTGTTCCTAGCAATTTTTCTAGTTCCACTAATCAGCCTTTCTTATTCACAAAACTGACACTCACCTATCACGTTAAAGTAGTTTTAAACATGATTAGAATATTTTATGTGTTGTCTTGCTTAAAATATTTTTTGACTGTTATAAATACAGAGCTGGGCTTGGTGGTACGCACACCTGTAGTCCCAGTACTCGGGAGGCTGAGATCACTTGAGCCCAGGAGGCCAAGACCAGCCTAGGCAACACAGTGAGACCCTGATTCAGTAGTGGTGATGATGATAGGTGATGGTGGTGATGTGTGTGTCACTGTGGTTCAGATAGATATTTTCTTGCAGGCCATGTGGGAACAGATCAGGGAATGATACTGTGTAAAAGTGAAGTCCGAATGAATTTTACATTTGGATTTCTTTGTATTTCACAGATAATTGATTTTGACAGTTGTCTGTTTTTCCAGGGCAGCACCCTTGTGCTCAGGATAATGGTGGCTGTTCGCATATCTGTCTTGTGAAAGGTGATGGCACTACAAGGTGCTCATGCCCCATGCACCTGGTTCTGCTTCAGGATGAGCTGTCATGTGGAGGTAAGTATGTCATGATTTTCTCATGCCACCCCAAACGCCACCATATTCCATGTCTTAGTCTAATCTTGGGTGATTAGGCTGTGAAGTTGCTCTTTCTCAAAACTTAATTGGTCGCTTATATTCCATTCATCTGCACTGTTCTAGGCTTTTGAGTTACTTTCTTTCCCCTCCTGTATCCCCTCATTCTGCCCCACCCTCCAGCCTTGGTAATTGCCATTTTAATCTGTTTCTGTTTGACTTTTTTACACTCCACATACAAGTGAGATTATACAGTGCTTGCCTTTCTGTGCCTTACTTCATTTAAGTGTGTTGTTTTGAATGTTAGTATTTCCTTCTTTTTTAAGGCTACATAGTATTTCATTGCAGATGTATTACCATTTTCAGCCTGTAAAGGAGTGTATTTCCTAGAAATATATTAGCTTCCCTACCTCCCTAGGAGGTAAAAATGTAACTAATTCTACTTCTCCAAAGCTCCACTGAGTTCTGGGTTCTGTCACTGTTGTGTCATTGTTGGGAAGGTGTCCAGTGAAAAGAACATCCTTTTGTTCAACTCCAGCAGCTTCCTGTTGTTCTTATCTGTTGAAATAAATTTTAGGATATTTTTTTAAAATATCACTTAGTGTAGTGATATTGTTGTCATGAAAAGTGCCTAATCAGTTACAAGCATACCCAGTTGGTACATTGCTTTGTTGAACAACAGTATGTCAGGATAAAGCACCATAATACTGATACACTGAAACCTTCCCCCTAGGGATAATTCTAAGTTAATTCAACTGCAGGAAAACACTGCCTCATGCTGTTAGTTACAGTGGTAGAAATTTTAAATCAGATTTCTATTTGGAAAATTATTAAATACAGTAACTAAGTTTATACAGCTATTCAACCCCACGATCATGAAGCTAATATAAAAGTGCATTTGATTCAAGTGGGAAAAGAAGTTGCTTTGATTTTTTGTTTGGCAGGGAGGTCACCCCAGACATGGTTTGGTCCTTAAATACTCCTCAAAGACCATGTGTTGAGGACCAGGACACCAGATAGGAGGTGGTAGAACCTTTGGACTTAGAATTTTTGTTTTTGAGGTGGAGTCTCACTTATGTTGCTCTGGTCTGTTGAAAAGATAAAGGTTTTCTGATCCATAGTCATATAAGAAAGTTCTGTGCTCCCTAGAGAATTTACCCACCCATAAGTTCTTAAAGAAGTCATGATGTAGGAGTAAAGACAGTGGCTTTAAGGAGACTGTCCATGTAGGCCTGTCTTTTTACAGAGTCATCCTTTGTTTAGAGAAGCTCGATAACTTCAGATAGTCACATATCTTCTGGGCCTCAGTTTCATCATTTTTAAACAAGGACATTGGCCTTGAATCTCAACAATATTTTTACATTTTAAAAAATTATCAGGAACCTCCAGAGAGATGTTTTCATAGCTTATATTTATCTGTGTTCACTGTACTAAAATTTAGTTAGGACTTTTTTTTCTTGTTTTGTTTTAGTTTTTGGTGCTAGGGATTGAACCCAAAGACACTGTACTAGAATTTAAAGAACTCTAAAAATATTAAAAGTAACAATAATGAAAAGGTAACAGTAATGAAGCATTATCTTCATAAATGAAATACGTTTAGGAAATTAACTATTTTAAGGCAAAATAAATGTAGTGTGAAGATTTTTTACATTTCTGTGGATTATTGCACTTTGTCAAAACGTTGGATTGGATTGGATTGTTTACCTGCTTCTGCATATGCTCTGTTGTGATATGTGGTTTGGTTGAAGTGTATGAAGAAAATTTGGCCTCACACAGATCTGTAGTTGGAAATGGACTGTCATTTCCATAATAGCCTTTCCAAATAATTGCGTATATTTGTCTTAGATTCTACACCAAATCTTGACTAGTGGCATTTCCTATCGGTTTAGGTATAGTGCGGAATTTGAAACCACATCAATTAACTAACACCACATTGATCTAACTAACTGGGTGCAGTGGGGCACACCTGTTGTCCCAGCTACTGGGAAGGCTGCGAATCACTTGAGCCCAGGAGTTTGGAACAAACCCAGGCAGTTTGGTGTGCTCCTGACCTTGCAGGGCACAGGAGTACTTACTTTAAGAGATAGGGTCTTTCTGTGTAGCTCAGGCTGGTCTGAATGTATAGCCCAGGTACCTTGAACTCTCAGTCCTTCTGCCTCAGCCTACCGAGTGGTGGTATTATAGTTGTGCACCACCGTGTCTATCTGTCTGGAGGTACTGATATATTTCGTGCCTGGTTTTACTCTGGCATGATTTTGTAATCTTACACATAGGCCATTTGGAAGTATTAGAATTTTATCAGAAGTTCACAGATCTTCAGATTTTGACAGTATTTTAAAAATCACATTTGTTAATATCACTATTAATCTCATCAGAAAAATGCGTAAGTACTGGGAATCTGTAAAGGTTTCAGTGTTGGAGAGATTTTCAAAATCCTAATATCTGATTGAAAGCTTCAATGTTACAATTAGCCATGAATAGTATTCATTCTTTTTATTTATTCATTTTTGAACAATAAAACATTCCTGCTAAATACCCAAGTGTAAATAATTGTAGAGTTTCTAAGTGTCCTTCCTTTGGGTCAAAATAGTGTTCATTTTGATTTGTGTTAGCAGTTCAAATAAATGCTTTCCTTTTACAAACTCCCATGCTCAGGTTTGCAGCTCAAGCTTCATGCCTGCCTTCAAGGTATCAAATGGCATCAGAGAAGGATTCTCAGTTGATTTCAATGTAATACTTCTTGTTTATTCATCGTGAACCTTCTGAGGGACACTGGTCTTTTTGTGTCTAAGCTGTGAGCACAGCTAGTGACTCCTGGTACTGTTTACTACACTTGGCCTTGGGACTGCACTCTTGTACATCAGTGCAAGTGCAATGAAACCACCAGTGACATCTTTGGGTTCTTACAGAAGTAGTTCTGACTAGTGCATCCACTGAAAAGAGATGTCAGGGATTCCCAAGGGATGTGTGACATTTTGAGAACCTCAGAGCCAGAAAGTGTGAGGGTTGGGCTGATTTTAAAATATCTGAGGTTGGTATTCATAGTGATTTTTGATAGGTTATGAGAGATCGCAGTGGTTTACAGATACAATCCTACTTGAAGTACAAAATATGAGAAAACTGTCACAGGATAGCAAATCTGAAGTATTGAAAATCTCTCTGGTTGGATGAGGTAGTTTATAAGTTACATTTGTTGTGGGGCTGGCAGAATGGCTCAAGTGGTAGGGTGCCTGCTTAGCAAGCATGAGGCTCTGAGTTCAAACTCCAATACCACCACCACCAAAAAAAAAAACACTAAAAAAAAAAAATAAGTTACATTTGTTGTAAAGTGCTTTGTATGTGGTAAATTATTAAGCAGGCTTCACTTTGTTATAAATGTTTGTACCTCTGTGTGACCATTCTTGTTTTTGTCACTCCCTTGTTCGTTTGAAGAGCCCCCAACATGCTCTCCTCAGCAGTTTACTTGTGTCACTGGGGAAATTGACTGCATCCCTGTGGCTTGGCGGTGTGATGGCTTTACTGAGTGTGAAGACCACAGTGATGAACTCAATTGTCCTGTGTGCTCAGAGTCCCAGTTCCAGTGTGCCAGTGGGCAGTGCATTGACGGTGCTCTGCGATGCAATGGAGATGCAAACTGCCAGGATAAATCAGATGAGAAGAACTGCGAAGGTATCCACGCCCCTTGGCCCGTGCACGTGCTTCCTTTCCATCAGCCGCTTAAAATTGACGTGTTGCTTTGGCGCTATAGTAGATTTTGGGATTTTACATTTGACTTTATCATGAGCATACCGTGCTGCAAGTTATTTTAATTCATTTGACATGCATCAGGTTTATAGAGGTTAGTAAGCGTGTTAGTGCTTCTTGTGTTGCTATAATGAAACACCCAAGGCCGAGTATTATTTTTATTATTTTTTATTTGTTTTATGGTGGGACTGGGGTTTGAACTCAGGGCTTTGCACTTGCAAAGCAGGAGCTCTACCATGTGAGTCACACCTGTAGTCCATTTTGCTGTGGTTATTTTGGAGATGGGTCTTGTGGACAATTTGCCTGGGCTGGCCTCAAACCACAATCCTCACAATCTCAGCCTCCTGAGTAGCTAGAATTACAGACATGAGCCACTGACACCTGGCTGAGGGCATGGCTCTATTGGTAGCGTGCCTGCCTAACAAGGTAAAGGCCCTGAATTCAAAGCCCAGAACCTTCCCCATCTCCCCCTCCCCCTCCCCCCCAAAAAAGATACTTAGCTTAAAGTTCTGGGGCTTCTGGGGCCTGGTACTGGCACCAGCTAGGCTCCAATGAAGGCCTCATGCCAGATGGCAGCACAGTGGCAGGAACACTGGCAAGAGGGAGAGATCGCATCCCAAGAGAGGAGGGCCAGTGTCGTGATTGTCTGACAGCCTTCTCAAGAACTAACTTGAGGTCCCATAAGAACTACCTTGATCCAGTCTGAGAAGAAGGCTCTAATGATTTTCCTGCAAGGCTCCCTACACCTCCACTGTTTTTTTTTTTTGTAGTACTGGGATCTGACACCCCCCTCCACCCCCCACAAGGCCTCTCAATGGCTAGGCAGACCCTTCACCACTTGAGCCATGCCCCCCAGTTCCACCTTTACCTTTCAAAGGTCCCACTGCCTACCGTGCCACACTGAAGGCCATGCTTCTACCACATAAGCCTGTGGGGACATACCCAAACCATAGTTGTAAACTCTGAAAAGTGAGAAAAGGGCCCAAAAGATTAGTGAAGTCTGAATGAGTGGATTTACTACAACCTAAAATATCGCACGCTCCTCTTTGCCTCATTAACCTTACACAGTATAAACAGACAAGTTCTCTGGAGTTCTTTAGGGCAGACAACACAAAGTGATTAGTAAAAGAGGAAGTTCAAAGAACAAAGTAGGAAGTTTCCTGCTGTCTTCCCTTTCCCATTCTCTGTTTTCTCCCAGTCAAAGTGAAGTGTGTTTTTCACTTGTACTTAGAAAGCATCTTTTGCCTCCTGGATGGTAAAATTAAGAAAACTTTCTCCATGTTTTCCAGTGCTTTGTTTAATCGACCAGTTCCGCTGTGCCAATGGTCAGTGCATCGGGAAGCACAAGAAGTGTGACCACAGTGTGGACTGCAGTGACAAATCCGATGAGCTGGAGTGCTGTGAGTAGACCTCGCTTGGGCATTTTAGCCTTACCTCCTGAGGGAGGCCCTCTCCCTCAGTCTAAGTCATACCAAGATTCCTTGTTAAGAACAAGTGTTGATATTAAGCTGGTTATCCGTGTCAGGGACTTTTTATGTTTTGCTTTCAAAAATTCCTTCAGGGTAGTGGTTTTCGTATGCACATTAACACCCACGGAACTAGTTAGTAAAGCAACAGAAAAGAGTGAACATTTCGACAGTAGTCCAGGTTTAACGTAAGCCTCCAGTTGTTTTGTTGAAACGTTTCCACCAGTTTCTTAAGTTCAGAGCGTTCTCTTTCTGCTTTTTTCTTTGCACTATCAATCCTGCCTAGGACTGCAGGTATGCACCACCATGCCTGGCCGTTTTTTTTTTAATGCTGCCCACAGCCCACTAAATTGTTTTTGTCATCTCCCATTGATGTGGTCTGTAGTGTAGTTGAAAACTGCTGAGGAGGCTGCTGTACTCCCACAGAAGGTGGTGAAGATGGCCAGCAGGAGAGCAGTGGTGCAAAGGAAGGAGTGGACGTAGAGTCAGTCATTTCAGAAATAGAATAAAAAGGGATTTGGTGACCACTCGGATATAGTGATCCCCGACTGGCTGGAACTGTTACCTAGGATACATAGCAGGGACTCAAAACTGAAGTGCTACACCATGTCCCCGCTGTGGGTATAGTGTTTGGCTGATGCAGTGATTTTTGTTAATTTGTTTTTGTTTTAGTTTAATTTAGATTTCTTTAGATAGACATGTCACAGGCCGCATCACTCTTGTGTCCTGAACTGACATACTTTATTCGTTATCTGCTTTACTCTGGAATTGAGGCAAGATGGCAGGATGGGAATGATGGGTTCAGTTGGGGTATGTGGCATTGACAATGCCCGTGGACATCCCATGCAGCTGCTAGGAAACTGTTGGTCACATGGGTATATGGCTCAGGTGGTTTGGCCTGGTTTTGATCATAAATAAAGCTCTGGCAGTGGATGGATCTCCCAGGCTAGTGAGTAGAGGAGGAAAGTATAGGTGGTAGATAGGACTCAGGGACACACCTACAACAAAGTGGCAGGCAGAAGAGAATGACAACAGAAGAGGAAGCAGAGAAAGGAAAGCTGAGAGAGGTTGTCTTAGAGAGCTATTGATCACATGTTTTTGAAAACAAAATGGGAGCTGATTGTGTTGAGTGTGGAGAGGGGTCTGTCAGAGGAAGAGCTCGATGACTGTCAGCAGTTTCGGTACAGTGGTGAGGGGAGAGGCCGAATTCAGCAAACTATGCTGGGAACGTGGAGGAGTGAATGTGAGCTGCTCTTTCTGGAGGCCTGGTGTGGGAATGGGACACCAAGGCACTAGAAAGGAGGACTTGATGAGATGGTCGCCAGCAGGGACCAGAAGAGTCTGGGCCTGAGGTTCCACAGACTACACTTGTAACTGACAGCCCCTAACGTATGTAATCTAGTGCTGTCACTGTCACTCCTTCCCCTCATTGAACCTATCCAAGATGACTGCAGCTACGTGGATGGGAGGTTGGAGCTAAGGTGAATTGGAAAACTTTGCTAAAAAGTGTTCACAGGTGTGAGGTTCTGTCCACATTAACCAGGCCCAGTGGAAGCGTTTCCTTTAGGAGAGAGGGCCACTGCGCTCAGTTGGATAAGCCCATTCGCTCTTCCTCTCCCTCTGATGCTACTGCCCTCTGCTTCTTAAAGGACTAGGGACCCAAGGAAAGTGGACATCCTGGCCAGGATCTGACTCCAGTACCCTGGCTTTTCTCTGTGGGTCCTCTGGGAATTGTGTCCCTTGGCTGTGTCCTTACAGGCCTAAGTGCCACCAGTCCTGTCCATCATCTGCACCTGACAACTTTTCTAGGTCTGCCTCTTCTCACCTAAAATTCCAAAATAACTGTTGGTTTTTGTGATATACAGAGTGAAGCAGATTTTATCTGGATATGAATTTAAAGCTTCTCAATGGTGTTTAAATCAGCACTTCATAAGAATTCTCTCTCACCTACTGCTCATTTATGTCTTGACAGTAGTTCATTTGACTCCTGATGGTGACACTTGGTTCATAGTATGTACACAGGATATACCACACCCTGTATCTATGGGGTGCAGTGTGTGTGCATTTAAGAAAGAAAAATAGGCCCGTGAGCTATCTTCATTAAGTTTAAAGCTTCACATTCCACTAGTCAGCCCTCTCTGTTTATTGCTATTTTAAATATCCAAGTTTTTTTTCTCCATTAGATAACTAGTATTTCTCCACTTTAGATCCAACTGAAGAGCCAGCACCACAGGCCACCAGCACAGTCGGTTCAGTTATTGGAGTAATTGTCACCATTTTTGTGTCTGGAACTGTATACTTTATCTGTCAGAGGATGCTGTGCCCACGTATGAAGGGTGATGGGGAATCTATGACTAATGACTACGTGGTTCACGGACCGGCCTCTGTGCCCCTCGGTTACGTGCCACACCCCAGTTCTCTGTCAGGATCTCTTCCAGGTGAGTTAAGAATGATCCATGAGAACCAGGTCTTGGGTTCTGCATCATTACTGAGTTTCCATCATATAAACAGGATTCTGCCTAGAGTTTCTTTCAAACTGGGTGGGTTTAAAATATCTTAAGAATTCTAAAAAGAATAAAATGTATACGGGTGTAAGGCCTTAGATACAGTTTGGTAGAAATTGCCAAAGAATATAAAGCAAATACCTCTGCATACTGAGCCCTCTCGTGGCCCTTCTGGAGGCACACCGGGAAGTGAGCCAGCCAGTCCTGGGTGGAGACTTACAAGCCACTTTCTTTAGGTTCACTACCAAGGAACCAACCCTAGGGCTGTTGAGCCCAGGAATAAAGGAGGCCAACAAATCAGTCAGCTTCCTTTCAGCAAACAAAGATTTGGACATAGTTGGGCAACAGAAGAAAGGGGTATAGCGTCTTACGTTTTTTCCTGACTTCATGTGACAGTGGGACCAGCAGGCGTAGCTTAGGTGTAGCTAAGTAGCCAGAAGTTGTATGCTTGGGTAGACGGAAACATCTTAGGAAAGTCTGGCTTGTGGTTTCCAGTGTTCTCTGGTGCACTTAGTGCAAAGAAATCTGCCTTCTAGTGAGTATGGAGAGGGAGAGCTCAGGAAATAAGAGCTTGTTCTGCTGTGACTCGTAAGCAGACAGACAAGGCATTGAAGCTGCTTGGTTGTACTGTTTTCAAGTGAGTGGAATTTGAGGAGTACTTGGAAAAAACACAAATTCTTCCTTAGTATTGGTGGTTTTGATTCCAGCAGTATTTACATCTGGTAGGTTTATGCCTGAAAGCTGGCTTTTGTTTCCTTTTGAGTGGCTCTGTGACTTCATGTGCCCTGCTTTATAGCCTTCCCCCTCAGTTCTTCCCCTCAGATCCTCCAACACGGCAAGCCTGTCCTTCTGCAGGGCTCGGCTTCTCCCTGGGAAGGAGCAGGTGGAGCCATGCTTAGCCACTCCCTTTCTCCATGAGCCATTGTTATTAGGAAAAGAGGGCATAAGTTCAGAAATCATGCAGTGTGACTCTGGGTGCTTATGATCCCAGTGCTGAATCCAGTTCTGTTAAGTAGTTTTGTAGCTCTTACTCATCTTCAGCTTTTATCAAAACCCTTTCATTTTAGGAATGTCTCGAGGCAAGTCAGTGATCAGCTCTCTCAGCATCATGGGGGGAAGCAGTGGCCCCCCCTACGATCGTGCGCACGTCACAGGAGCATCATCAAGCAGTTCTTCGAGCACCAAAGGCCCCTACTTCCCCGCAGTAAGCACCCTGGCTTGCTGTATTACAGGATGCCACTAGGGCTACCTTGTTATGTGTGGGTGTTCAAGGCCAGCAAGGTGAAGCCATCCTAAGAAGGGGGTCAGAGCTTACCACCCACCCTGTGCTGTTCATCTCTCTTTTAAGTTTACCATGCAACACCATGTGAAAGCGCCGAGTGTTAACTTCACAATTCAAGTCAAATTCGAACCACTGAATGCTACCTCACGAAAGACTTAGAGCCTTCCTTTCATGACCTCACAAGAGGAAACACACCTAGAATTTCTCTTAAATTTAATTTTTCTGTGCACATAGAAACATAGTTTTAAAACAGAACCTCTCTGTGCTAAAAAAAAAAAAAAAAGAAAAAACCAGTGACTTATAAATTGCAAACTTCTTTTCATCGCTGTGCCGTTTACCATGAGATTGTGTTGTGGGGGAGGGGAGTCACAGCTCTGAAGTGTGTGTCTGCAGTCTGTTCTTTAAAGAAGATTTGTGTTGATCGTATGAAAAAGAGAGATGGAGTCTGCATCCGTGTCATTTAAATATTTTCATTTCAGATTTTGAACCCTCCACCATCCCCTGCCACAGAGCGATCCCACTACACTATGGAATTCGGTTACTCTTCAAACAGCCCCTCCACTCACAGGTCATACAGGTAATGTGCAGGAGCACCAGAGGTGTGTGCTTCCTTAATAGAAGTTACTAGCCAGGCACTGGTGGCTCACGCCTGTAATCCCAGCTACTCAGGAGGTAGAGATCGGGAGGATTGCGGTTTGAAGCCAGCCCAGGCAAATAGTTCCGCGAGACCCTATCTTGAAAAACCCTTCACAAAAATAGGGTTGGTGGAGTGGCTCAAGGTGAAGGCCCTGAGTTCAAGCCCCAGTACCACCAAAAAAAAAAAAAGTTACTAGAAGTGTTCTCCTTGTGCACCCAGTGGCACTCCACATGAGGGGAGCAGGCATCTTGTGTGAGGGCACAAGTCCTTTTCTTTGAGGGCATTGTACATTTCTAAAAGAGTGAAAATGCCAGCTTTTAGAGTAACGATGAAGAGTCCAGGCTTCAGCAGTACTCTGAACAAAGGTCACCACCAAAGTGACTGATTCCAAAATAGTTTACTATTGCAGGTGATAAGTCTGATTGCGCTCTGAGAATGAAATACTGGGGTGAGACCAGCCCAGCTGGCTATGGAAGCTCTCCCCACAGGGGATCGAGAAGTCAGAAGAGGAAGCCAGCCCTTGTTTGCATGTGTTGTTTTGATCCGAGTGAATGATTTCCCAAGTATTACATGGCATTCATGAAACATGCCTGTAAGCCCAGTCAGGGAAGGGAGAATCTGCCTTCCTGCTTGTTTGTGAGCCTGCAGGGCATGCTGAGCAGATTGGCTGCTACCGTGGCTACTTCAGTCTTCTATCTTACTTGAAAAGCAGCAGAAAGTCACTAGCTTTGTGCTCTACACTGAGCACTGTTGTGCAGTTTGTGCTCCCTCGAGGCCCCGTATCACACAGCGTGCTTCCTTTTTGTCATATTGACCTGATAGAATCTTACACATGGATGGAAACCATAGTTATTCACAATCTTCATTTCCCTAAGATAAGACTCAGAGAGGCTTACCTCGGAACTGACTTTTATGATTTAGTGTAAGGTTGCTTTTTCCCATCACAAGTTTGTTCTAAAAAACCAAAACAGAAAAGCAGAAGCCTGAAAATGAAAAATAGAAGCATCTAAAATTTTATTATAAAAATTATTTTCCTGGGCCAAGCACAGTGGTTCATTCCTGTAGTCCCAGCAGGAAGCAGAGATCTGGAAGATCATGGTTTGAGGCCAGTCTGGGCAAAGTTAGCAAGACCCCATCTCACCCAATAGTGATGGTTTGTGCCCTTGAGACTGTCTCAGGGACTCTGTATCGCTAGGAATTTTATGAATTACCCTATCCGTTATTCTTGCCCCTTCTCTTAGAGTTACTTTGTTGAGAATGCTTATGTAGAAGTCTTTGATTGGGATAAAGATAGTCTTTACCATGTGCAGAATAAAGAAGTTTAAGAAATAAGTAGGAAAGGTAGGACAGCCAGCACTTCACATCAACGCTTATCTTCAGTGTGTTCCTGCTCGAAACGACAGATAAGCAAGTAGGGGAAATATATCTTATCCCCTGAGTTACATCCTGGTCCTCTGAGGGTATTTAAAATGTATCCTTTTCATGTTCAGGTAAAGCTGCTCTTAGGACAGCATACCTATCTCCAGTCACAAGCACTTCCCCCAGATCAAGCTGCTTCCCTGTGCTGATGGCAGCAGTCATGGGACAGCGAAGCTCTTTGGGCTGTCTTAAATTCAATCTGGGTTGTGCAATATTGGACTTCTAAAAAAGGAAATGAAGTCTTCGGACATTGTTGGAGTATTTGTTAGGCAAGTTATGAAGCAGTTAGCGAGCATTGAGGATGCAGTGTTTGTGATGTATGTAAAGCCCATTCTCAGCGGCTGGGGATCTGCAGACATAGGTGAGATCCACTCTGTGAACTGAGTACGAAATGTGTCCCGGAGATGGATTGGGGGTGTCACTCGGGGCAGAGCACGTGCTAAGCAGGTGGGAGCCCCTGGGTCCAGTCCCCACCCTGCAAAATAATAATGGCACAACAGCAACTGAGAGACTTTCCAAAGATACAGCTGTGGTTTTTGTACGGTGCGTGTGCATGTAAGCACACACTTTAGCCACATCACCAGCCCAAGCGCAGCTTCACGTAGGCCCTTTTGTTCTGTGAAGATGCAGGTGTCTTCTTGAAGATAGAAGAGTCCATGTGCAGGCTAGATTGTTCACCTCTACCTTCCCACCCTATCCCACTTTTACTAGCCTCTACATCTTACTGCTAACATGAAAATGCACGCTCTTTTCCTCTGCCAATTTGCATTTGAAAGTTCCTCCCCACCCCTTTTGTTCCCCTTTTCCAATAGGTGGGTTTGAACTCCAGGCACGAGGCACAAGCTCTACCACTTAAGCCATATCCCAGTCCTTTTTTGCTTTAGTTATTTTTCAGATACAGTCTTTTGTTTTCACCTGTGGTCAGTCTGGGCCTGTGATCCTCCTACTTCTGCCTTCCATTAGCTGGGATTGCAGGTATAAACACCACGCCTAGCTTATTGGTTGAGATAGGGTCTTACTAACTTTTTGCCTGGGCAAAAAGTGAACTTACCATCTCTGCCTCCTAGGTAGCTGGGAATTCAGGCAAGAGTCACTGCACCCAGCTGAAAATTGTCTCTTGATCCATATAGATGTAAATTGCAATAGCCTAATAGCTTTCAAAGTGAAGATTACGGGTGGGGGTAGGGAGCAGTAGAGCACCTGCCTAGTAAGCACAAGGCCCTCTTAGTGCCACCCAAAACAAAAGTGAAGTTTACCTGTAATATCTGAGTTCTGATAAGAGTTATTTCTCTATAAAACTCACCTCCTTCTCTTTATTTTCTCCTACACAGCTACAGGCCATACAGCTACCGCCACTTTGCACCCCCCACCACTCCCTGCAGCACAGATGTTTGTGACAGTGACTATGCACCCAGCCGGCGAATGACCTCAGTGGCAACAGCCAAGGGCTACACCAGTGACTTGAACTATGACTCAGAGCCTGTGCCCCCACCCCCCACACCCCGAAGCCAGTACTTGTCAGCGGAGGAGAACTATGAGAGCTGTCCCCCTTCTCCATACACAGAGCGGAGCTACTCCCACCACCTGTACCCTCCGCCACCCTCTCCCTGCACGGACTCCTCCTGAGGAGGGTCCCTCCTCCTCTGAGCGCCTCCGCCGAGAGCTGTAAATACACATCTGGTCGAGGTCTGCAGGGGGGGAGGGAGCCCTAGTGGGGGGAGGCAGACCGTGTACAGTTGCCGTTATAAAGGGAGGGAGGACTGGAGATATTTGTGCAGAGAGAAGGGTATTTATATATTTTCTTAAAACAGCACATCTGCTGCTTGTGCCATAAAAGTTTGTGTAAAAAATAAATTTGTACTAAAAGTTTTATTTTTGCAAACTAAATACACAAAGCATGCCTTAAACCCAGTGAAGTGACTGAGTACAGAGGAAACGAGTTGCAAAGGCATCACTGCCAGGAATGTCTGGGCTTTACTGATACCAAAAATAAAGAGAAGAGAAGAAACTGAGTCCACCTCAGAGCAGCAAACCATAGACACTTGCAAGTAGCCAAATAGCTTCAGGTTACTGAGAGCTCATGAAACAGAAGACCAAGAATTAAAACTAACTATGGACGACAAAGGGCTCTGTTTTCTCTAGGAATCTAGCTGCTTAGCCAGGAAGACAGGGTACTTCCAGAAATTGTCCTGGGCTTGCCAAGAAGGGCAGACCCCACTCTGGAAGGTGTGTGGGGCCATGGGCAGGCCTTCCGCCCTGCCCCAGAGCCCACACCTCCATTAGAGTAATGGCTAGGTGTTTTCACCCTGCACCTCCCCAGCAGCTGTGCCAAGAGACCAAGGCTTCTTCCAGTCTTTTAGCTGAGAAATTGATTAAATGGAATTTTCTCAGTAGACTTTGCTTTGAATATGTCTACTAGTGCCATTCTCCAGTGGGCTTAGCTCCTCAGTCTGACCACTGCTTTTGGGTAATGATCAAAAGTCAGCCCTATTGTTGGTCGTCTTTACTGCCACGGTGGTTTTAATGCTCATTAAAACATCTTTCACAGCACATAGACGATGTTAGGAATTAAAGGTCTAACCGGTACGTTTTGTTGTAAATTAACCATATATCCTTGCAATGCTTTCAGCATATATCACAATAGGAAATCATTTTATGTTTAATTTTTGAGCAAAGCATTTAAGCACGTTCTGGTTAGAGACAATATATTAAAAGAGAATGTTTTGTTGCTAGGGTCTCCCTATATTAATTGTTTGTGACGTTTTCTTCAGACCGGTACCGGTTTCTCTCAGAATGATGTTGCACACATACCTCTTGTAACTCTTGACACGAGTTTAATCTTCCTGTTGTCCACTGTGAATGTCAGGTGGTTTTCAAAGTACCCACAAGTTATTCTCCTAATCACATTATGCATTTTATGTGTGTTCGCTCTTGTCCCTTTATGGATTAAGATAACTGAACAGAATTAACAATGACAATTCAATGAGAAGGCACCGTGAACTTCTCAGCTGTCAGACCCTGGGAGGAGGGGAAGGATGGAAGCTTCTTGTAATCTGCCTGACCGGCTGTGGTGTACAGTACTGGGGCTGACCTATGTGACCTGTGGACACTTCTAACATTGTTCTGTCACCTTGCCAGAAGTTAGCTGCCTGCTTTTTATACATGTCTACCACTTTGCAACTAAAATCCAATGTGTTTGGGGCTAATGTGCTTTCACTTTAACAGGTGTTAGCTATTTACTCTTTTTTTTTTTTTTTAAATTCTGTCTTGGTGAGGCCTCTTTCGGCTTCAGAGCCTAAGAGAAAAGAACAGAAGAAAGGATTAAGAATTTGGGCAGAAGTGAAGTAACTTTTTAAGCAGTTAAAACACATGAGTAAATGTTTTAAAGAGAAAAATGTGGTTTCAGAGTAATGCTCAGATTGCTGCGGGGGGGAGGCAGCTTCTGAGAACAGGGCACGCTGGCTTTGCATGGCGGATTCATCACTGCCATCATTTCAGTCAGGCAAGCATGAGCTCTTCCTGTTGGTGGAACAAAAAGAGTGTATAGGCCAAGACGAAATGGACATTGACCTTGGTTCTGTGGCACAGGGTACTGGATGCTTGAATGGAGAAGGAGAGATTAGCAGTAACTGGGTATCAGTTAGCATCTGAGAACTCTTGTGTGTTTACATTTCTAGTGTGCATCTTTGCTGGGCTTCCTGTGCGGAAACTTGCACTGTCCTGAACTAGGAAGAATACTGCCTTGCTTTGACCTCAGTCCACATGCTGTACTGCGATGGCAGTGGGCTCTTGCAGAATACTAACCTGTGTGCCTGTTTGTTTGGAATTACCTGATGGTGGTTCAGCACAGCCTCAGTATCCTCTTTCTGGGCTAGAGGGGATGGGTTCTTACATCTCTGAGAGGATTGTCAAGTTGGGGAAAGATTTCTTGGTCCTCAGGTTGCACGGACAGTTAAGCTGAAGAAAAATCTATCTTGGTGATTGAACTCAGAGCTTTAATTGGAAAACTGAGAAGAGAAAAGAAGCATCTGAGACCCCAGTCAGTGGAAAACCACAAAAGGAGCTTTAAATTCTGTGTAGTGCTAGGTTATTCATTTAACAGGAAGATAACAAAAGTCCACTGGATTCCTTAATACAGGAGTATCTCTTGAACGTGTCTTTTTTTTAGATTAATATGCATTTCTTTTATTTATTTTTATTCATATATTCACATGTGCTTACATTGGGTCATTTCTCCCCCCTTACCCCACCCTCTCCCCTTTGAACGTATGTCTTGCAGTGTGCCTACTTGCTGATAGGGTTAAGATCAGCTGAGCAGTGACTGACAGAATGTACTGTGTGCACTGGAGTGCTCTTTTTAGCTAAGTTTCTGGACGTGGCTCCTTCAGTGCCCTCATCCTCCTTACAGTCCACAGGGTTCTGCTTGAGTCAGCCACAGCAGACAGTTGGTGGGTACACTTCTCTCACGGTTCTTTTCTTCCCTGAAATTTCATTATACTTTGCCACTTGTTGGCACTCTAATACAGCACGTATCACAAGATGCTTTCTGCTTAGAAAAGATTCTGTAGTCATTTTAGTTTTACTCTAAAATACTCTGATTACCACCAAGAGATACTTGATCATTTAATATAAAAGTAAATGGAGTACAATTGTTCCAGAGACATTATAGGTATTTAGAAAAGAAGTTGTTACTTAAAGTACATTTTCATTTGATAGAGGCCTATAATTTTTGGGAGAAAGAGCTTTGAGCAGGAAAATTTTAAAATGACTGAGGGCCGGTATTCATTATTCTAAAATACCCTGAAGTTAAGCCAGGCATTTGGTGACACATACCTCTAATCCTAGCACTTGGGAGGCTGAGGCAGGAGGATCATGAGTTCAAGGCCATCCTGGGCTTCATAGTGGATTCAAGGGCAGACTGGGCTGTATCACAAAAACAAACAAAAAACACCAAATACCCTAAAGTCAGTAATTAGTGTAAGGACAGCTCATTCAATATTTAAGTTGCAAAAATGACTGAATGACTGTTGTAGGCAGCAGTCAGCTTGGGGGTGCGTCTTTTTCACTTGATGTAAAGGCACATTTAATGCAGACTATTTCAAGTAGGGTTTGAACCTGTGGCTTACCTAGCTCTAATGAGATGTGTGTGTTTGTGTGACCGACACCAACAGTCATGAAAGAGAACTGCAGCCTGCAAGCCTGCTCCTTGCAGGAGGCGGCTGCTCAGATCATTCCTTGCTTAGATCAGAGTCAGGAATGCAGTTCTTTAAATCATTTTGTTTCTTGCAGGGAAAACCTTGTACAATTCAGAAACAAAAATGTTGGGCGTTTCACACCCCATATAATTAATTTTCAGTGCTTACATGGATCTGTGGTACCCATAGCTCGATGACTGTGGACATGAGTGCATTTCTATCAGTTGGTTGACCAGTATTTGGAGACACTGAAATGAAGCTGTTTCTTAGGTGTGGACATGGACTGGAGTTCCTTTACTTATCCTTATCTCAAGCATGATTTTTGGAAGTGCTGGTAACAAATGTATGCTTTCTGACTTCTGGGATGACATCATTTTGTAATGTCTCAAAATTTGGCTTTTGAAATTCTCAGAGTTTTAGAGTAAATGATGGCTCTCAGATATAAAATTACACATTTATAGTAAAAAAAATTTTTTTCTGAGCCTGTAACCCTAGCTATTCCAAAGGCTGATATCAGGAGGATTATGGATTGAGGCCAGCCCAGGCAAAATGTTCATGAAGCCCCCATCTCAACCAATAAATGGGCACAGCAGCACACACATGTCACCCCAGCTATGTTCTCACAAATAGGAGAACAAATAGGAGCTATTGGTTCTCACAAATAGGACAACATGGTCTGGCCTTCCTGGTCAAAAAGTGAGAACCTATCTCAAAGATTACCAACATGAATAGGGATGGGGGCATGCCTAGAGTGGTAACAGAGCCTATCTAGCAAGATTGAGGAGGTCTTGAGTTCAACTCCCAGTACCACCAGATTTTTTTTTTAATTACAAGCATTGTGAATTCACAGTCTCTAGATATTTTTGCTTGACCTGATTTCATGCCTCATTAGATTAAATCTGTACTTGAGCACAGAGAGAGGGAGGGAGGTTGTTGGTTTGTCTTAATGACTTAGACTCAAGTGACTCACTGTACCCTCACCTCCTTCAGATGAGGTTACCTTTGACCATTTCTTTAAGGTATTTGACAACCATTCCTAATTTTACTACTAAAAAGAAACTCCTCAGGACTTTTATGGAACTACCAAGTGATATCTTATGCTTAGAAGTGGAATATGGGCCTAATATAAACTAGCCTTTAGACTTTCCAGAAGTTAACAGTGAAGAATTCCAGCTTGCTTCTGCTTAACTGACCATTTAGGTGTTTTAGAGTCAAACAGAAGAAGGTTGGGAGGTGGAGCTACATACATATATTTCTGTCAGTGCCTCTGTGTGGATAAAGGAAAGAAAGGGAGGGTGAAGAGATCAGCACTAAGGAAGTCAGTTACCTGGTGGTGAGAGGGATGTAAGAACAGGAAAGCGGATACTGCAGAGCACGGACTGGACTGGTCTTACTTGCAAGTGAAGGATCTGGTGCTGCTTTCAGATGTTTGTCCTTTATGTCTTTAAATGGTTCCTTAAGCTTTAATCCTCGTCCCTGTCTTAGAGTCAGCTGGCGTTCCTGTCCATCCACTTTGGTACGATGTTGCGTTGCAAGGATGTATTTATACTATGATGGCCAACATTTGGTCAGTCCTCGTCCACTTATTTGCCTCCCACTTTTTGTAAAATAAGTGCTTTAATTATAAACTGTATAAAAAACCTTGTATAAATCCCCCTTTTGATTATTACAATAAGCTGAATTGTAACAAATGAAATGTTGATTTTTATAATAAAACAGTGAAAAAATATCAGTGTCATTTCTTTTCAGCAAGACATTAAAATGACAGTCGCACTCTGTGTGGCATGAAGAAGACTGTCATTTTCAGATCCCACAAAGCCCAGCTTTTTGTCTGCACTGCAGGTAAGTCCTGATCTACAGAGAGGCCTGGGAAGGGCTGCTTGGTCCAGCGCCGATAGACCTGTGACTGGGGACAGAACGAGGAACACCAGCTGTGCTTTAGGGCTGTCTTGGTTGTCTCTGAACTGTGGGGTCCTGATGCGGACTCCAAGCAGCCCCCCTCCCCCAAATTAGCTCATAAAATGAACATTCCTCTTCCTGCTAAGGAGCCCAGCACAATGTGTTAATGCTTGTGAGGGTGCAATGTGCCAAGGCAAGCCAGCCTGAGCTACCAGGTCTCAGCAGGAGGCAAGGGCACTGGCTGGACAGAAGGGAGGAAAGCCCTTGCTGCAGTAGAGCTCAGGTGTCAAGTAGACGTGGAAACCAAGTTCTAGTATCAGGTTGTTTCCTTTGCTGTCTCAAGCTGGCCTTGACTCCTGCACACACAGCACCCTCCTCGCCCGGGGAAATGCAGCTCTAATGCCCTGTAATTTGCTCTGCTCTTCTTTCCCAGATAGGGTTGCAGTGGAGTTTATATAATCCTTTCCCTTTTCATTCTTTGCCTTGAACATGGCTGCATTGTTTCTGTGAATTTAAGTCAAACAACTCACTGTGCTCAGCTCGCTGGGTCCGTCATTCATACACTGTGCACTCGGCATACCACCCCTCCCTCTGGAAATTTTTCTATTAAAGATTTGCATTTGCAAATTCATTTAATCACAACAAAAATCAGTTTTTCCCTAGTAAAGGGACTAAAGTGAATTTGGCTGCATTTCCTTTGCACGCGGCCCTGTGATCACTGATTAATGAGCAAAGTTGACAGATGTCCAGCTGGAGTATGACAATGTCCAGTGCTGAGAAGCAGGCTGGCAGAGGGTAGAAGGGACAGGACGTGGACAGATCTAGATTCTACCCTATTCTAGTTGGCTGTCAAGCCATGCATGGATTCATCTATCGTCAGGATTTCTTGCGTTAGTATCTTTTCTGCAGTCATCCTGTTCCAAAGAGGAGCTCACACAAAACACTCCAGGCGGTGAGCAGAGCCTGCTGGCGTCCACACCTGCATGGGCTCTTACTGGCTCCCATCTCTCTTTCCAAAAGAATTTACACTTCTGAAAAGAGCCAGCCCAGGCCCCGTGTTACCTCCCACACTGTGTGGCAAGCAGAAGTGGTTGTGTCGAGAGCCTCTGACTTCTTGTCATCCTACCCAAACTCCCCTGTGCCATCCCTCACCACCATGGACTGGACAGCGCTCGTGTTCTGTGCAGTGATGAGAACTCTTTCTTGAGGATTCCATGGAAAGGAAATGGGGAGGTCCCTGAGTTCTGTGTGGTGCTGAATCTACCACAGCTGTGTGACATGAGAAGGTTCTTAATAACTCAGTCTGTAATACAGTTAGGGTGACATAAACCATGGCCCTTATCTTTTCAGTGTCAGTCTTCATTTCTGACATGGGTTAACCTGATGGGACCCACAACACATCACCCCCAAAATAAAGCACCTTGGCATTCTGAACATTTGAAGCTGAAGGAGTTTGAGAAAACTAAATAATTTTGCCAAATACAGGATTTTTGTTGACAGAATTTTGGTGTTTTTTGTTTTGTTTGTTTTTTGGCTTTAGGGGTTTGTTTCTTTTCCTCTTTTTCTTTATCTTTCTTTTTTTTTTTTTGGTGATTTAAAAAACTTTGAATCTATTGGCCCATTATCTTCCTGAGAACCTGCTGTGACCTGACAGGATCTGACAGGTGTATGTGATGAGTTGCTTCTCTTCTGCTGTCAGGATTCATACTCTCTCCCAACCTTCCTTCCCCTTCCCCCTCTATCTCCCTTCCCCCCTCTTCCTTTTTTGGCAGTACTGGGGTTTGAACTCAGGGAGTTGAGCTTGCCAGGCAGCTGCTCTACCATTTGAACTACGACCCCAGATCTTTTTGCTTTGGTTATTTTTGAGGTAGGGTCTTGTTTTGTGGTCTGCCGATCTGGACCTCAATCCTATTTATGCCTCTTATGTAGCTGGGATGACAGGTGCACGCCACCATGCCCAGCTTTTTTTTGGTTCTGATGGGGTCTTACTTCTAGCTCTGGCTGGCCTCTAATTTCAGTCTTCCCAATCTGCACCTCCCAAGTAGCTGGGATTATAGTTGTGAGTCACAGTGCCCTGCTTCTCTTTCCTTTAAAAGTTTGTTTTTTTGTTTTGTTGTTTGCAATGTTTCAAGGTAGGTCTCTTTCAGTTTATTTACTTGAGTTCATTAAGCTTGGGTGCTTATATTCATGTCTTCCAGTGAATTTGGGGAGTTTTCAACCATTATTTCTTCAAGCAGTCTCTCCCTTTCTCCCTTGGGCACTTCCACAGTGAGTGTGGCTGTCTGCCTGATGGCATCCCACAAACAGGCCCTGATCACTTTTCTTCATTCGCTTTTCTTTTTGCTCCTCAGACGCCATGATTTCTCTTGTCTGATTTTTTTGAGGTTTTTTTGCCTGCTTAGATCTGCCTTCAAATTTATCTACTGAGTTTTTCATGTTGCTTCTTACACTTTTCAGCTCTAGAGTTTCTTTTTGGCTGCTTTGTAGGTTGATCATCTCCTTACTGACATTTCTGTCATGATGTTTGTCCATACATCATTTTCCTAACTTGTCCTCCTTTACTTCTTTGAGCCCCTTGAAGTCTGTGTCTAGTACAGCTGACAGATCTTTCCCAGAGACACTTTCTGTAGAATGAATGAATTCCTTCCTTGCTTTCTTCCTTCCTCCCTCCCTCCCTCCCTTCTGCTCCTCCCTCCTCGGGGTTGAACCCAGGGGCTTGTGGATGCTAAGCACAACACTCTATCACTAAGCTACACCCTCAGCCCTGTTTTATTCTACTTTGGTCCATATTGTCCTGATCCTCTAGCGATTTTATTTGTTGTGGACATTCTTAGGGCCATGGATGTAAACTTACGGTCTTCTCGGGTCTTTCCTGAGTCCGTGCCCCTCTGTGGGCAGGCAGGGCCACTGTTGTAGCTTACCTTTATCTGCAGTTACTTCTGAGTGTCCAAGGAGAAAAAGGGCAGAGAGATTCTTTAGATTTCCTGCAAGTCACTTCCGCCAGGGTTGGGGGGAAGGAGGGGACAGCAACAGTGGTCACCCAGCTCTTTCAGGACCGGAGCCTTTTCTCTGCCCTGGGATTTGTCAGCCGTGTTCAAGTTGGTCCAGGAACAAGTGCACTGTTCCTTGACAAGGGGGCCAGGGCCGGAGATTGCCATACTGCTGGGCCCAGAGTGGAAATTTAAACCGGCTGCAGTGCAAGCCCTTGCCTCGAAGCTGCAAGCCTCCCATGGGCTCTGTAGTTCCAAAATAGTTACGTCTGAAAACCTCCAGGGCCCTTGTCGACTAGGTGGCTTATGGTGACACTGGGTTTTGAACTCAGGGCCTCACACTTGCTAGGCAGGCGTTGTACAACTTGGACCACTCCCCTCACCCCTTTTTGTGACAGGTTTTTTCAAGATAGAGTCTTGAGAACTATTTGCCTGGGCTGGCCTCAAACTGTGAGCCTCTCAATCTCTGCCTCCCAAGTATTACAGGCATGAGCCACCAGTGCCCAGCTCAAGTTCCTTTCTCCTGCCTTCTCATACTTTCTTGTTTAAGGCGCAAGCTAGTCATTAATTAGTGACTGGTCTTGTTTTTGGCAGTACTTGAGTTTGAACTCGGGGCTTCGCACTTGCTAGGCAGACACTCTACCACTTGAGCCACTCCACCAGCCCTTTTGGCCTTAGTCATCTTTCAAAGAGGGTCTCTTGTTTATCCCTGAGCAGGCCTGGACCAGTCCTATGTATGCTACCATAGTAGCTGGGATGACAGGCACGCCCCACGGTGTATTGATTGGGGTGAAGTCTTACAAAGTTTTTGACCAGGCTGGCCTCAAACCTCAATCCTCCCAATCTCAGCCTCGGGTTGCTGGGATTATAGGCAGTAGCTAGCTATCACACCTGGCTTTGCTTCATGTATTTTGAAGCTGTTATTAGGTGCATAAACATTTACCTTCTGATAATGTTCTTTGCTTTCAATCTACTTTGACTTGTACTATTGTTTCTTCTTTGATTTAGTGCTATCGTGGTACATCTTTTTCTCTCCTTTTACTTTGAACTTGTCCCTGTCTTTGTATTTGGTTTTCAATGTGGTACATACAGATTGAGTCTGGTTTTTTTTTTTTTTAAATCCAATCTGGCTTTTTTTTCTTTTGAGGTACTGGGGCTTTGAACATGAGTCGTGATGCTTGTAAGCAGGTGCTCTACCATTTCAGCCACTCTGCAAACCCTTTTTTGCTTTAATTATTTTTCAGATAGGATCTCATGCTTTTTGCCCAGGCTTGCCACAGACCACAGTCCTGCTGCCCGTGCCTCCTGCATAGCTGGGATTTCAGATGTCTCACCACACTCAGTTTTGTTGAGATGGGGTCTTGCTAGCTTTTTTTCCTTTGTCTGGGCTGGCCTGAAACTCTGATCCTCCTGAGTGCTGGATTGCAGGCATCCACCAGCACACCTGACCCTAAGATCTGCTTTGTAATTGGAATGTTTAGAATATTTTTCCATATACTGTGATCATAGCCGTGTTGGGCTTAGTAAACCACTCTGCTGTTTGTTTTCTTTTGTTACATCTGCCCTTTGTTCCTTTCCTTCCTTCCCTTCCATATTTTGGGTTATTTTTTATAATTCCACTTTGTCTCCTTTGTTGGCTGATTATCTACAAATCTGGTGTGAACATGTGTGTGTGTGTATTTTAGCGGCTGCTTTCCTTTAGGTTTGTAGTGTGTATATATACATTTTAAACTTACCGCCATCTCTTTGAAGCAAAAATGTACACTGCACACAAAGTGGAGCCCATGCAATTACACTTCCGGCTCTCTTCCCAGCCTTTGTGCCATTGCTGTAATATTGCATAAACCCTGCCACAAATCGTTTTTCCTTTAAACAGTACACTGTATTTTATTATTTATTTATTTTGCAGTGCTGAGAATTGAACTCGGAGCCTTGCATGTCAGGCAAGCGCTGCACCGCTGAGCTACTACCCAGTCCTGATTATCTCTTAAAGAAGAAGAAAAAGTCCTTTACATTTTCTCATGTATTTATCACCCCTGTGGCCCTCCTTTTTATCTGTATACACAAATATCTGTTTGCTGTAATTTGGCTGCTCCCCAAAGGACTTCCTGAATGTGTCTTGGGGTCCAGGCTTGCTGGTGAGCCCTTCTTTTAGGGTTGGTGCACCTCAAGTCCTGTTGCACTTCCACACAGGGTATGGAAGCCTGTATTCACAGGTGTTTGGGGTTTGGTTTTGTTTTTACACTTTAGGTGGTTACTCTCTTCTGTTTTATGTAGTTTCCAAAGAAGTCTGCTGCCATTTTAATTTCTGTTTCTCTCTAGGTAGCATGACTTTATTCCTGACTGCTTTAAGGTTTTTTTTTCCTTACTGTTTTGAGCAATTTAAGGTGTGCCTTGGTGTAGTTTTCGACTTGTTTGTACTTAGCATTCATTAAATTTCTTAGGTCTCTCGTCAAACCTGGAAAATTTTCACTCCATTTAACACATGGGGCCATCAGAAGTCCTACAACTCACTGTTCCTTTGTCTGTTTTGTTTTGGATCTGTTGCTGTGTCTCCAAGTTTACCTATCTATTCTACAATGTCTAATCTGTCGTTAACCCAACCCAGTGTGTCTTCATGTCAGATACTACAGATTTTAGCTCTGCACAAGTTTGGTATTTCACTTTTTCTTTTTCTTTTTTTTTGGTGGTATGAGGTTTGAACTCAGGGCCTTGTGATTGCTAGGCAGGTGCTCTACCACTTGAGCCACTCCACTAGCCCTTTCTTTGTGAAGGGTTTTTTTGAGAGAGGGTCTCCCTAACTATTTGCCTGGGCTGGTTTTGAACCGTGATCCTCCTGATCTCTGCCTCCTGAGTAGCTGGGATTATAGGCATGAGCCACCGGCACCTGGCTTGAGTCATATTTCTAACTTATTTGTGTCTTTCATATTTTCATTGTCAGTCATTCCTCTGGCTTACTGGACATCTGGAATACAATTATCACAGTTTCAGTGACCTTGTCTCATAATTCTATCAGCTGTGCCATTTCTGGAGTGGATTTCTCTCTTTCTGGCATGACTGGGGTTTGAACTCAGGACCTTGCACTTGCTAGGCAGGTGCTCTATCACTTCAGCCACAGCCGTATTGTTTTAGTTATTTTTCAGATAGTGTCTCCAGTGTTTGCCCAGGGCCGTTCTTGGATGACAATCCTCTCAAGTAGCTTGGATTATAGGACTTGTAAAATATGTGCTCTACTGCTTGAGCCACACCTCCAGTCCATTTTGCTCTGGCTAATTTTTGGAGATGAAGTCTCACGAACTATTTACCTGGGCTGGCACCAAACCATGATGTTACCCATCTCAGCCTCCTAAGTAGCCAGGATTACAGGCATGAGTCACCAGTGCCAGACGTGCATTGCAATTTCTGACTGCCTGCAGGCATTGTGAACTGCGTTGTTGGGTGTTGGCTAATTTGGTAAAACTACAAAGCTTTTTGAGTTTTGTTCTGGAACACACTGAGATCCTTGGGAAATCTAAGCCTTTCAGTTTGGGCTCTTATTCTGTCTTGGCAGGACCAGAAGAGGTTTGATCTAGGACTAATTTTTTTTTTCCCCAGTTTCTGAGGAGGCGCTCTGAGTGTTCAACCTATTGTGATGTAGGCAGTCCTCCTGGTCCTGGTGCAAGCTTTGGAGAACCTTCCTTTCAAGGTTTTCACATAGTTCTTTTCCAAGCCTTGGGCAATTTCTTCACACACCTGTGTTGCACAGGCCTTATCTGCTGAAGACTTGGGGACCTTCTGAAGCTTCATGGGTCACTGGTCTCTGCTGTGTTCCCCTCACACTTTAGCTGCTGTGGCTTTCAGGGCTCCTAGATCCATCTGCTCTGCTTGGGGACACTGCTGAACACTGGACCTTCCCCTCCCTCCAGCGTGGCCTGCCAATGCCACACTCCCAAGCCATCAGCTGGGGACCCATTCTTCATTCCCTAACATTCATAGTCTTGGAGATTGTGGGTTAGCTGTTGGAAGCAGGAGATTAAATGTGGTCACTGTCACTTCGTCTTGACTAGAAACCACAGGTGACACTGGAAACACTTGGGGAACCTGTCACGACTGCTTGTATCTTGGGCCACACTCCAGTCGCACTGATTTACAAGCTGTGGCACCAAGGCTGGTTGTGGTTCTCAGATCTAGTGCCCAAAATATTCCTGGTGTGACAGACGAGGATGAGCTCTAGGTAACGCTCGTTCACAATCCACTGAGAAAGGCTGGGCAGATCAGTTCTTGCGGCACAATGGAGCAGGTGTAACGTCCACTTGACAGGACACTTGAGACATCGTGGAGGGAAGGCATCCAAACAGAAGCCCGTGACAACTAGGGGAGCATTAGGAAATGACGCATGGAGGGAAGGCAGGAGTAAATTTGGGGCGATGGCTAGAGTTAGCTGGATGAGTGGAAATGGGCAGGAGCTGGGGGACGGTGGCTGACAACAAGGACACGCCAACAGAGAGAATATTGTCATACAGGTTCCAGGGTCCAGGGCTGCACACTGGGGAACTTCAGATAGTTTGGAATGGCCAGAGGGAAGGGAGTGGTGGAAAGGAGGGGGTCTTCACTGTCCCCACCTGAGACAGAGGCACCTTTACTCCTAACTTTTATGGCTGTCAGGCGGGAGAAGAAACTAGAAGAATTTTGTTGGGGTAGTAGGGGAGTGAGTCATTTGATAAGAGTCCAGTTTTGCCTTGACCCTGAAAGTCTGTGTGACAGACATGTTCTTTTATTTGTTCATCAAAAGCTTAGGAAGCATCTATTTTGTCAGGCCGCACGCTGGTGCCTGGCCTCAGAAAGGTGTAAGGCCTTTCATTTGATGGTGTTTTCAAAAGCCTGCCTTAAGCACTTGCATTGAACATACTTCCCTTTTTAAAAGCCTCGTTGTGAACAGTAGCACTGTCCGAAGAGCAGTTAGGGACTGCTTTGAGAGAAGGGGGTAGCATGCAGCAGGGAACATTCCTGAAGACTTCACCCTAAGCGCCAAGAACCGTTCTAAGCATATTAACTGATTTGGTCCTCACAGAAGCCCTACGACTATCAATTGCTATTTGTTTCATTTTAACCAGAAGACACTTTTAACAGTATGTTCGTCTTAGCAGCTACCAATCATTACGCTACCACAAAGAATGATAAAAACCCAGAAGCCTTGGAACGCACAGGTGTGTCAAGGAGAAGACAGCATTGGGTGAAGGGAGTGACAGTTCTGAATAAAAGGAAAGTTTTTCAAACTGCCAAAGAATTTTTTGAGAAAAGTTGATTAAAAGGCTTATATATTTGTATCTCCCTAATCTAGATATAGTTTTCTTTTTTATTTTTGGCACTGATGGGCTTTGAACTCAGGGTTCTGAGCTTGTTAGGCAGGTGCTCTATTGAACCACGACTCCAGCCCTTTTTGTTTTGGTTATTTTATTTTTTATTTTTGGTGAGACGAGGGTTTGAACTTAGGGCTTCATGCTACTGTTTGAGCCACACCTCCAGTCCGTTTTGCTCTGGTTATTCTGGAAATGGGGGTCTCATGAACTATCTGCCCAGGCTGGCCTTGAATCTCAATCCTCCCCGATGTCAGCCTCCCAAGTGGGTCGGAGTACAGGCATGAGTTTCTTTAAGCTATGTCTATCCCACAAACAGCAACCTCTTCCTAGAGGGTGGCTAGAGATGAGGTCATGACTGGCCCATCCCAAGTGTAGTTTAAAATTCAGTAGTCTGAGAAACCAAAAAGTAAGCCATGCACGAGTTCATTTCACCCTCTCCAGGCCAGCAGACATCTGTAATGGACTTCTCCTACACAGCTAGCAGGGGCAGAAAGAGGTTTTCATCTCAAACAAATGGCAAAATGACCCCTCTGGGGTTCCTCACACACAGTGGAGGATCTGGAAACGATGTCAAAGACCACGCCCGAGTCCCATGAGCTGGAGACAGCCACCTCTCCTCATGCCCCTGAGTGACAGGAATCATATCTGACTTGTATGTTTTAATTTTCTGCAGTACTCTGTGCCCAGGGCCACCGTGGGACAGTGAGTGTTCCAGACGGCAAATCTGATATTTCAGTCTACTTCTTCATGTGGTATGCCAAGGATTTTTTCCTAGAGGGGGGAAAAGAGAAATAAATTCTTAAAATTCCAAGTTCAATTCACCGATGAAGTAGAAACATATGCCTGTTAACTCTGCGCTTACCCCAGCACGGCCCGAGGCTCACAGACAGTACTAGCGTTGGGAGAGAGGCTAGAAAGGTCACTGTCATCCTTGTCCTGCCTGCAAGGGAGACATTAGCTTGGATCTTGTGTCACCCACCCGGGCTAACAGGCTGGACCTTTTCTGGAAGATGAGGAGGCTCTGAGGCTGTATGTAAAATTGCACAAAGTAGGTTGGTGACTGGAGGCTGCCGTAGAGGCCAAGGCCGCAGGACTGCAGGACAGCCGTGAGCGCGTTCACACAGGGAGAGGCTGGGGCGGGGCTGTTACTCATCTACGTGGTTCACTTGCTCATCCACCGCAAGTGGCTCCTCAGCATCCAGGACACAGAAGTGACAGCGCACTGGGGAATCCCAGGAGGCTCCAAACACACCGCCCTGCCCTGTCGCTTATCCGGAGTTGAGCTTGGAGGCTGAGATGCGCCTCCAGAAACGTGGAACGGGGAGACGTCAGGACACTTGAGCTCCTGTGTGCAGCAGAGTTTTCCCTCCTTCCACAGGCCACCCGGGGCCAGCAAAGTCCCTTGTGTCCAGACCAGGGAGACTGGGCCTCTGGAGGCCTCAGTCCACGTCTTCCACACTTTCAGAGCCCAGATTAGCTCACAGATATTCCTCTTTTTTTTTTTGGCAGTACTGGGGTTTGAACTCAGGGCCTTGTGCTTTCTAGGCAGACACTCTACTGCATGAGCCGTGTCCCCATGTTGTTTTTTCAGATAGAGGCTCACGATTTTTCTCAGGACCTACTTCTGGCTCCTGAGTAGCTGGGATTATAGACGTACACACCATACCCAGCTTTTTTTGTTGAGATGGCAGTCTTGCTAACTTTTTGCCCCAGCTGGCCTTAAACCTCAATCCTCCAATCCTCCTGATCTCCACCTCCCAAGTCGCTGGGATTACAGGTACGAGCTGCCACACCTGGCCTATAAATATTCCTTTATGAATATCTTTTAATTTTTCAATACTTCTCCTCTGGCATTTTGGCAGTCAGTCTTTCCTCTCCCATTTCTTTCTTCCCTCTCCTAATTTCTACTTACACACTCCAAATTAAACATAACCATGGCTAAAAGTTAAGATTAAGGTTTCTGCCAGATGCCGGTAGCTCACACCTTGTACTCCTAGCCTACTCAGGAGGATTACTGTTTCGAAGTCAGCCCAGGCAAATAGTTCGTGAGACTCTATCTCGAAAAAATACATCATGAAAAAAGGGCTGGTGGCCTGGCTTAAGTTTGCCTAGCAAATGTGAGGCCCTGAGTTCAAACTCCAGTACCACACACACACACACACACACACACACACACAAGATTCAAGTTTCTGATGCTCAGGATAAGTAAAAAATTTTGGATTGAAACCACAGAGGATGACTGGAGGTAAGGCTCAAGTGGAAGAGAACCTGCTTTGCAAGCACAAAGCCCTGAGTTCAAATCCCAGTCCCACCAAAGAAAAGAAAAAAGAGACTACAGAGGATTAAACAACCAGTGCTTTCATTTCTAAAATCTTTGAAAGTCCCTCCTCCCTCCCTCGCTCCTCCCCTCCCTCTTGTCCTACTGGGACTGCAGTTTGAACTCAGGGCTTCATGCTTGCACAGAGGTGCTCTGCCACTTGAGTCACACCTCCAGTCCATTTTGCTCTGGTTATTTTGGAGATGGGGTCTCATGAACCATTTGCCCAGTCTGACCTTGAACTGTAATCCTTCCAATCTCAGCCTCTCAAGTAGCTGGGATTACAGGTGTGAGCTACCAGTGCTCAACTAAACCTCTTTATGACTGAGTCATTTTCCGTCATGTGGGTGTCTTTCATTTTGTTGATCACTCATCAGTTGAGGGATTTCATCATCTAGTGATTAATACAAATGCTGCTATCACATTCATATTCAAGGTGAGTTTTAGTTTTCTTGCTTATGTACATCCCAGGGTGGAACTGCTGACTCTGTTTTTCTTTGGTTTATTTCTTTTATTGTTTTGTGGTGCTGGGGACCAAACCCATGGCCTCATGCTTAAATGCTCCCCACCACTGAGCTAGACCCCTAGCCCCGGTACACTACACTTAGCATTGTGTAAATGGGTTGCAGCCATTTACAATCCAGCCAGCAAGGTCAGGAGGGCTCCAATTCCTCCACCTCCTCACTAGTGCTGTCTTTTATTTTAGCGGATCTGGTGGTGGGGCTCGTCACAGCTTTTCCCGCCATTTTCCTCCTGGTGAAATGAGAATGTCAGATATCTATTCTGGTGCTTATTGGCCCGCTATCTATCTTCTTGGAAGAAAGTCTGTGCAAGTCCATGGCTCACTTAAAAAATTAGATTACTTGGACTGGTGGAGAGGCTCAAGTGGTAGAGTGCCTGCCTAACAAGCAGAAGGCCCTGAGTTCAAACCCCAGTACTAAAAAAAAGAAAAAAAGATCACTTATTGTTTTTGTTTTGTTTTGTTTTTGGCAGCGTTGAGGCTTGAACTCAGGGTCTCACACTTGCTAGGCAGGTACTCTTTCCACTTGAGCCATTCTGCCAGGCCTCTCTTATCATTTTTGATTGCTGAGAGCTCACTATGACTTTTGGGCAGAAATTAGTTATTAAATATTTGATTTGAAAGTGGTTTTTTTCCCGTTCTGTGGTTTTGGTTTTTTGCATGCTCTGCACACGCTCCACCTCTGAGCTACACCCCCAGCTCTCTCACCCCCTTGATGGCGACACTGAAACACGAAATGAAGCTGGACTCTTCTATTTTCTCTTTTTCTCAAGCAGTCTACCATTTGAACCACTCTGTCATCCCCTCCCCCCATTTTCTCTCTTGCCTGTACTTTTGGCATGAAACCACTGTTTTTAATAGAAATTAAAACAGCATTTCAGCTACATTCATGGGTCAAATAGAGTCTTGAGAGCTAGCCTGTGAACCAATGGATACGCACCATTTCTCTAAAAAACCACATTCACAGGGTCAGCAGTGAGTTACAGATGAGCCCTTGGATCATGGTCAAGTGGGAATTGATGATCCCTGGATGTTGATTCGGTGAGACATGGATTACTTCAGCCCAGAGGCTGCTGGGGCCATAGCTGTAGAGGTCAGCAAAGATTTGGGGGAAAGGAGAGACCGGTGGGGGTCCTGGGAGGAAGAATGAGGGACTGAAATACTGCCAAGGAGTCATACTATCCTCCTTTTAGAATGGGTTAAGGCAGCTTGGGTGACCTCAGGGTCACTTACCAGGTACAAAAGTCAAAAATGGGACCAGGTGAGCCCTGTGAGCAGTCACTAAAGACCATGGTGGCACCTGAGCCTGTGGGTAGCATGAGCCATGCTTTCCTTCTGACGCCAAGACACCCAGCCTGTGTGGAGGTGCCAGGGTCGCACTGGCCATGCCTAGAGGTGACTCAAGCCCCTGCTGGTCCCTGGACTAAGTAAGGACAATCGGGGTGAAGACCAGTCCTCCTAGGAAAGGCCCGGGCCTACTGGGACTCCAGCCTCTGGGGTAAAGCATTTGGCCAGGGTTGACCTCGATTAACCTTGAACATGGCAGTTCTAAGGAGATCTCAGAGAATGGGGCTGAGGGGCAGGAGGGGTGGAGGGGGCAGGAGGTCTGTTGTGATTCACCTTCTCTTTGCTTATTTTGTACCAAAATGTCTCTGTCAAAGCATTCATGATAAAATGTCACGGGCCCCAGATCTCTGCAAGGGGACTAGTCCTATGCCCTGTCATTTTTTGCAGGCACGAGGACCTGTCCCCTTGCCCTCTGCTCACGGCCAGACTTCCATGGCCGGCAGAATTTGCCAAAACAGAAATGACATCTATCTAAACATTTTATGTCTCGGCATCAACTCATTTCCTGCTACATGTGACCGGCTACTCAGCCCCATGCACACTCACGTACCCCGGGGAGCTCAGTAAGTATTTAATGGGTGACAAGGGACCGCTATGACTGTGTACCCTCAGTGGGATTGTATCCCTTGCCACTTGAGTGTTCTAAGCCCATGAGAATGGTCTCACTGATGTCTTCCCTGCTCTTCCAAAAAAATCCTTCCAGCCCATCCCTTCTGACACTGAAGAAGATTCTTTTCTGTTTTGTGGGTCTGGGGTTTGAACTCAAGGCTTCACACTTGCAAAGCAGGCGCTCTACTACTTGAGCCACACCTCCAGTCCATCTTGCTCTGGTTATTTTGGAGATGGGTCTCGAGAACTATTTGTCTGGGCTGGTCTCGAACTGTGATCTCAGCCTCCCAGGTAGCTAGGATTACAGGCGTGAGCCACTGGCCCTGGCTAAGAAGATTGTTATGGCATTTGCTTACCCATCCACCGTGCTGCTGGACCCAGGATGAGAAGTGCTCTTTCAGATACTTGGTCCCAAAGCCCAGCACCCTGTTCATTGGGTGGTTGTCGACCGCGGTGAGCTTGGCTGTGGCGTCTATGGCCAGGGCGGCCTTGAAGCCCCGAGCTTTGGCTTCCGATTCTCCTCTGGTGTCCACGTCCCTCAGTAACTGGTCTGTGATGGTCTCGAACATGGAGTAGGAGGACAACTTGTCCTGGAGGCTGTTCATCAAAGCCTTGTCTTTTTTCAACTGCGCGTAAGAGAGAAAGCAAGCGTTCAGTGGAGCAGCTCAGCCCACTGAGGCAGACCGAGGCCACTGACACACCCAGTGGAAAGACCTGAGCTCTGGTCTCTACCGTGGCCTAGCGTCCTGCACACCAGGCCAAGTCACGTGCCCGCTCTGTGAATTCACTGCCTCCGGATAAAGAAGGGAGAGTACTTCGGGTGCTGTGGGTGATTAGGACTCGGTGCTCACCCAAGGGGTTTGCAGTCTAGTGACAACTGCAAAACGGTGCAAAGTACTTTTGTCAGAGGTGGAGCGAAGGACAGGGTCTGTAGCTTGGGAGTCACTGTCTGGGGCCATCACCCTGTGCTCTACGGTTTTGCTGTTGATGGTGACACTGGGGTTTGAACTCAGGACCTTGTGCTTGCTAGGCAGGTGCTCTACCACCTGAGCTGCTCCGCCAGCCTTTTTGCCCTGCTTGTTTTTGAAATAGGGTCTCTCTTTTTTCCCCAGGCCAGCCTGGACCACGACCCTCCTATTTAAGCAGGCCTGCGTGTGCTCAAGTGAGTGACTTCGCAGACGTTCTGCGGCCAGTGGACACAGTAGAGGCTGTTCAGGAAAGGAGCCCTGCACTAGGGGCCTGGGGGGAGAGCACCTGCATCACAGCCCTGAGTTCAAGCCCCAGTACCGCTGGAGGAGGAGCCCTCTGATTCCACGGTGGGTTTGCTCTCCAACTCTTTGGTTTTTGGTGGGCCTGGGTTTTGAACTCAGGGCATGGTGCTTGCAAAGCAGGCGTGCTACTGCTTGAACCACACCTGCAGTCCATTTTGCTTTGGATATTTTGAAGATGGTGCCTTGAGCTGCGATCCTCCCAATTTCAGCCTCCCAAGCAGCTAGGATTACTGGCGTAAGCCACTGGCGCCTGGCTATTCTCCAACTCTTTACCTGAAGGCAGCTCTCACACACTCCCGATTAGAAGGATGGGTGTCAACTTCTAAATGTCAGAAAGTCTGCCACTTCTCTCCAAGTCACATAGCCCCGCCTCCTTGGGCGAGTTGGTAAGACAGCCTGTAAACAGACTTCAGAACGAAGACTGAAGGCTCTCAGAAGAAAGGGACCCCAGCCTGGAAGTGACCTCGGGACACAGATCTCCTGCCTGCAGGGCAGTTCCAAGAGGCCAAACTTCACCGAGGATCAGATTAATAAACCTAGCCAGCAAATTTTAAGTCACTGGAGTCTTTCTTACAAGAACACGGTTCCTCCTTCCCAAGAACTCCAGGGAGGCTCCAGATTTACTTCTGCTTTGCAAAGTGACTCATTTTTGACGTGCTGCCAGCAAGACGCTGAGGCCTCCAAGGGAAATAAAACTTAGTCTAAGTGAAAGTCAGAACTCTCACAAGGACTCAGGCCCCAGCCTGGGGCACAGCTCTGTTCTCGGGCAGCAGGATGTGGGTACAGGAAAAAGTCACCTTAGCTCAAAGCCTGTCATACCTCACTCTCCAAATGATCCCCGGATTGTTTCAGCAGCTCCACGACTCTGGCTATTACTTCATCTTCTCCATCTGTTAGGGGAAAATTCCAGTTATTTCTTTTTAGAGAGGCACAAAGTCACCTTCAATGTTCCCAGGGGCAATGCTTGTGCTTGGCTAGGGATCAAGGAAGAAGCATGCGTTGTAATTCTGTCCTGATAACTCTTATTACTCCTGATCAGACAAAAATCGTGCAAGGCTCATTGGCAGATCCATAGTCCCCTTCTTTGTTAATATATATATTTTTGTCAGTACTGGGGCTTGAACTCAGGGCCTCACAGCTGTTAGGCAGACGCTCTCCCACTTGAACCACTCTGCCAGCCCCTCTTCTTTCTTTTCTTCCTCTTCTTTCTTTGCTCAGCACCCCCGCCCCAATTCAGTGACCCTTGTGACTGTCACCGAAGACATTGGTCCTACTCCAACACTCGTGTCTATGAAGACAAAATTTTGGGAGAAATTTCCCTCTTTTTAAAAAACCTTAGGGCTGGGGCACAACTCAAGTGGTAGAGCACCTGCCTAGCAAGTGCGAGGTCCTGAGTTCAAATCCCAGTATTGCCAAATAGGTTTTTTTCCTTAAGTTTATTTATCTATCACCTATCTATCCATCTATCATTTATCTATCTATCATCTTTTGGAGCTGGGATTGAACCCAGAGTCTCTTGTATGCTAAATCTCACACCCTTAGCAACACCCCAACCCTCCCTCTCCGTCTTAGAATTTTCCTCATCAGGCGATGGATTTTCCTTTTGGAGACCATAAATCCCATATTAGATCATATTTCTGCCTTTGTGTGTTAACTACCAGAAAAGACACAGCCAAATTTGTAGCCCAGGTCTAAGAAGAAGTATAATCTTCCTGGCCTACATTTGTGGGTGTAACCTCATTCCTTGACTCATTTTATTTTTCTGTTATTTGTTTCGTTTTTGTCTTATTTGTTTTCCATCTGACTAAAAGTTTTCCTATGTCATGTTTCTACAAGGTGGGGTATAAATACTTGAAATTAATAAATCTCCCCCCAGGCTAAAATGGCCAATGCATGGAAAAAAATGGCTGCAGATGGTGCGTGTCTGACTCATGGGCCAGTCTCCGAAGCCAAGGAGTCCACACGTCTGTCCTGGATAAAAGGATACGAGAGGCCCAAGGAGGTCTGGGGACGGGCATGGGCAGCCTGGTGCCCACGTTCCTTGAGGGGAAACGGAAGTCCAGTCTCCACAGCCCTGGGCTCGCTGGACATGGGCTCGTGTAGAGGAGGAGGTCTTGGTCTTGGTGTGGTTTGGGGTCTCTCTCCATCTCTCAGCTGTGCTGGAGAGAGCGAGCAAGCCCCAGGACTGTGTTGTTAGCAGGCTCAGAGGCTCATCCTCTCCTCTGACTTCTCACTCAAAGACTAGCAGTTTGTGGTCCTCATAGAATAACAGACGGTGGACAAAGCCACCACTTTGATTCAGGGTTGGGAGACACTGACATCTTTTGTGGGGAGAATGTTCCTCTGGTCCTTCAGGGTTCTGCAAACCTAGGGGCCACCTCTGCCTCACATTCTCTATGGGAGGCTGGCGAGAGAGTCACAACAGGTGCAGTTTGTCCTACTCTCCCGAGCCCGGAGTCTCCACGGCCTGACAGGATCTATGATCCCAGCTATTGCTATGGTGTGGGTGACAACTGACCTCACCTGGTCTCACCTAGTCACTACTTCTCACTTCTGCCTCATGTTCTACACCAGACCTGGGGTTTGACAAGGCCCCCAGTGTTTGACGGAGCCCACAGCAGTATAGACACCCTGAGTTGATGCTCCAGCTCTGCCAGGTGCAAACTGGTCCAGGACCACTGGAAACTCGATCACAAGGATCCCTGCGGACCCTGCAGGTCACCGCAGGCGAGGGAGTCCTCCTCTCCCTCCGGGGGAGACTCTCTGGCTTGGTGGTGAGCCTGGCAGGTCCGGTCAGCCTGCTGCAGGCCCTGGGCCTTGGGCTGGTGTCACATAAGCCACATGCTCAGGACATCAAGCTGCACAATGTACAATATAAGCCTATTTGGAATTGTCACAATGGATCCCCCCTGTATAACGAATATACCCTAATTAAAAAAAAAACAAAAACAAAGAAAGAAAGAAGGACTCACCTTTCTTAGAACTTGAAGAGCCCAAGTTTTCAAACCAGAAGCCGGGATCCTGTGCCTGTGGTATAAGTTTCCCTTGGAGCTTGACAGTTCCCCAGCTGTGGTGGTCTTCTGGAGGTGACCAGGAGTGAATGATCTCAGCCACTCGGTTGGCAATGGAAGCAACTTTTGGGTCCACGGCTAGAACAAGACAAAGCGGTGCTGAGGGGAACTTCTAGAACTGTGCTGCACACCCATTGCACAGTGGCCTGGAGTGAGGTGGCCAGCCCAGAACAGAGGAACCTGCCTGGGAGTGGTGAGGCAGGGCCGTCCTTCAGAAAGGACTGCAAAAGCTTCCGGCGGGGGGGGGGGGAGGATGGGGGGGAGGACACACAGAGGAAGTGACTGCCACCTCTGCACCCTTGTTTTAGTGTCATGCAAAACTAGGGGTCCCTTCCCCCTTTGCAAGAGAAGAAACACAAAGGGGAAGGCTTCGTTCTTTGCTTAAAGAAATGATCGTTTGGCTTTTACTTTTATTCTTTCTTTCTTCTCTTTTTTTTTTGGACATCCCTTCTACCTAGGAGATCCGGTCCCTGTGTCACAGGAGGTCATTCAATAGTTTGATAAGCATTTGGGATTGTGCCACTGAGGAAAGAGAAATATCCCTGCTCTTGTGTCATATTCACCACCCAAGTTCATTATCAAGTAAACACCTATCACCCCTGCCTCATATTTTCACACTTCTCTGTCTTCCATGTCTCTAGTTGAATGATGGAAAGCATTCAACCAGTGGATAGAGACAGCTGGGCATGGTGGTGCATGCCTGTAATCCCAGCACTGTAGAGGTGGAGGCAGGAGGATCGCAAGTTCAAGACCAGAACAGGTTTAAGAAACCCTGTCTTAACAGAGGCCAATAGGAAAAGGGGACCAGGACCTAGAGAAAAGGTTAGATCAAAAAGAATTAACCTAGAAGGTAACACCCACGCACAGGAAATCAATGCGAGTCAATGCCCTGTATAGCTATCCTTATCTCAACCAGCAAAACCCCTTGTTCCTTCCTATTATTGCTTATACTCTCTCTACAACAAAATTAGAGATAAGGGCAAAATAGTTTCTGCTGGATATTGAGGGGCGGGAGCGGGAGGGGGTGGAGTGGGTGGTAAGGGAGGGGGTGGGGGCAGGGGGGAGAAATGAACCAAGCCTTGTATGCACATATGAATAATAAAAGAAAAATGAAAAAAAAAAAAGAAACCCTGTCTTAAAAAAAAGTGCATAAAGTAGATGTCATCCTTCAAGAACTTACAGTCCAGGAACAGTGATGTCACATCCATGCACACGGTACAGAATGAAGCATCTGGCGACAGGAGGCTTAAATGGCACAGACCCCTTAACATGGTAGTCTGTCAGAAACAAGTCAGCTTTGCACTTGCTGGGATGGAGAGGGTGGGATGTGCAGGTCTATGGCTGAGCTGTTGGGTAGTAAAATTTTCATTGTTTTTCTTTCTTTCTTTCTTTTGGTGGTAGGGTTTGAACTCAGGGCCTCCCGCTTGCTAGGCAGGCACTCTACCACTTGAACCACTCCAGCAGCCCTAACATTTTCACTGTTGACTAGTCACGGAGGTCTTCTGTGGCCGGTGCCACATGGAGCCGCTGAGGTGTAGCTCGTTAAGTGTGAAGAATAACCCTTGCTCCTCCTCAAAACTCACAGAAAGACATGCAGAGGAATTTTAGGTAGCAGGTTGGGGACCCAGAGCAACTCTGGGGTTTTGTAAATCAAGACAGGTCAGAGAGGCCAGGCCTGGGTCCTGGGAGGGACTGGGTCACATGAGAAGCAGGTTCTGACCCCATGTGTAGCCGTCAAGGTGGCCTCCAGTCCTCTGTCCCTAACACACTTTTCCTGGAAGATCACAGGTTCGAGGCCAGAGATTTGATTTCTACCTAGTGAGACCCTGTCTTTAAAAGCCATGTGAAGTACAACTCATCCTGCAAGAGCTTATAATCCAGGAAGTGTGAGGCCATACATGTGCACCAGAAGTACAGAGTGAAGAAGAGACTCTTTTCTTACGGTTTTATTTATTTATTTTTGGCAGCACTGGGGTTTGAACTCAGGGCTTCACACTTGAAAAGCAGGCGCTCTACCACTTGAGTCACTCCTCCAGCCTCTTTTGCTCTGGCTATTTTGGAGATGAGGTCTTGCAAACTATTTGCCCAGGCTAGCCTCGAACTGCAATCCTTCTGGTCTCAGTCTCCCAAGTAGCTAGGATTACAGGCATGAGCCACAGGTACCTGGCTATTCTTAAAGTTTTTAAATTTAGGATTGCAAATGAGAATGTGAACTAAGCTGGTCCCCCGATCCTAGGTTTTCCTATGCATACATCAGTCATGTCCTGTACCCATGTCCACACGGGTTCACAGAAATCAGTGTACTGCACATGGGTCAGTCAGATTGGGCACCTCTGTGGCTGCTGGTGGCTTGAGGTAGGGTTCTTCACCAGCCTGGCCTTCTTAGCATGAGGATGGTGAAGGGTGACTTTGCAGGGAGGGCAACCACACGCTGAATCCCTGGATGGGCACTTCAGTGCCCTCCCTTCATTGTCCAGTGGCTGTCACGGACAGGTCCCTGAGCACAGTGCCGTGGCTGTGAGCCATTCCTAAGTTGACATCTGGCTTAAGAACTTCTAGTTTTCATGCTCAGCCCAATGGTTCAAAACCAGATGAGGGTGGATTAGAGAGGAGAGGTCAAGGAGAAAGAGATCAACTCCCTTCCTTCTCATTTCAACTCCCAAAGCCAACTTGCTTCCTACTTTACAATCACCCACTGCGGCTGGGCATGGTTGTGCATGCCTGTAATCCTAGCTACTTGGGAGTCTGAGATTGGGAAAATCATAGTTTGAGGCCAGGCTGGGAAAACAGTTCACAAGACCCCATCTCTAAAATAACCAGAGCAAAATGGACTGGAGGAGTGGCTCAAGTGGTTCAAGTGCTTTGCAAGAGAGAAGCCTGAGTTCAAACCCTGGTCCCACCCAGAAAAAAAAAATTCACTTACTGCAGCCAAACCAGCCCCCTGTTTACATTGGCCGCCATGATCCCAGCAGAGCAGTGGCCAGAGGCTGGATCCTCCCAAGGGACCTCTTCCCCGGCAGTGTTCCCAGGAGGTGGGAGAGGAGTTTGCACAACCTGCGCCCTCTAGAACCCGGGGCAGCCGTCCAGGGGATCACGTGTGGTTCTCCCAAAAATCACTCTGTGCCTGTCCTCACGCTAAGAAGGTCAGGCTGGTGAAGACCCTCGCCATGTGGCAGCACCACAGAGAGACCACCAGCAACCACAGAGGTGCAAGGCTTACTGACCTGGGAGCACTACACTGAGTTCTGCGAAGCTGTGGATGCGTGTGCAGAAAAATCCAGAAGCATCATCCTGACTCAGGAGACCAGCTCTGGTCAACATCATCGTTTGGAATCCTAACTTTACAAACCTTAAGAAGAAAAAGCTGGTCGCCTCTGACAGGCCAAGGAAAACTGGATGGGGCAAAGAGAGGACAGAGGGCTGCCCATTCTTGGGGGTCTACTTTGGGGGACACTGGGGGTCAAGAAGAGAGGAGAGCAGGATTGCGGGGGTGCTACTCATGCTTGGCCTGAGACAGTTGCTGCAGAGGAGGAAGGAGTTTGGAATGATTTCCTCATGACACCGTTTGCCGTTTCCTACTCAGTACACACTTCTTCTTCCTTCAAATGTGAAAGTCTGTTTTGGACCCAGCAGAAGGAAATGAGAAATTCCCAGCCTCCTTTGCAGTACAGGATGGCCAAGGGGACGTAGGGAGAAGTTGCAAGCATTTTCAAGAAAGCTCTGTAAAAGGGAGCAGAATGATCTAGAAAAAGGATACCCTTTGTCCTTCCCTTGCTCCTTTTTCTTCTGGCTTAAAATGTAGATAGGATGGCTGGAGTCCCAGCAGCCACCTTGGGATATAAAGTGGTCATCCCCAATATATATGTATAATTAGATATACATATAATTATAAGCATATGTTTTATATATGCAGTTATACCCGCAGGTACAATTCATCTTTTATTCTCAATCTCAGCTAAAAGTCAGCTCTGTTCACCTACCTTCCCCCAAAAGAGGGAAAAAGTAAAACAACAACAGCAACAACAACAACAAAAACCTTCCCTTGAAATTTTGGAAAAAAAAAAAAAAAGGTCCAGTGATACTTCAGTAAATACCAAAACATGAAATGTCATTTATCCCCGAAAAGGCCTGAGGGGGAAGGGCTGTAAACTTCCCATCTTCCAGCGCAATCCACACAGCAGGGTGAGCAGCAAGGCCCCCTGGGCCTCCGGCTATTGTCCCCCTTTCCCCCTCAGCAGAGGCACCTGCTGCACGTGGCTGGGGAGTGGACGTGGAGGGACACACCAGGAACTGGCTATTTCACTCTAACCTAGATCAGCGCAGACTCCTGGCCTGCTTGGGATGGTTAGACAGAACCAGGATGACCTCTGCAGCCACCTGCTGTATTTCCTTTCTCAAGTCACTTCTGGGACTGTCACTGCCTCTGGTCACCTGAGCCAGAGGTCCCCATGTCCTCCTGACCCTGGCTCCTCCTGCTTGAAGCCCTTTAAGTCTAATGGGGACCTAAGGTCTTCTGGACCAAAGCGAACGGTCTGAGATGGCCATATGTGGGACATTTTAAAATTGAGACGCTGCTGCCACCTGTTGACCGGTTGTCAACCCAGGCCAGTCAGAACAAGCAGGAGGGGCTCTCCTCCACCATGTGGGCCCTGGGCCCTGGGTGTTGTTGGGGAAAGAAAGGGTCAGGGATGCTTCTGCAGAGGTTTGGAAGCTGGAGGGAAAGTTTGTGACAAAGCTCTTATGACAAGGTCTTCTATAAATGATTTTGTCCTTTTTATCAAAATGCTTCTCAGTTGCCTTTTTTTTTTTTGGCAGTCCTGGGATTTGAACTCAGAGCTTTGTACTTGCTAGGCAGGCACTGTGCTGCTTGAGCCATTCCTCCAGCCCTCTTCTCAGTTGCTTTTTTTAGGGTGATGTAAAACAAATTTTTTTAGCCAGGGTCTCAGGATGGAGCCAGGATAGCCTTGAATTCGTCACCCTCTGCCTCAGCCTCCCAAGTGCTGGGTTAGAGACCTGTGCCACCATGCCAGCCTGAAAGCTACCTTTGGACATATCTATTTGACCTTTCCATCCACCATAGGAGGTAGGGCGGGCAGATCCCCAAGGAACAGATGTAAACACAAGGCCCAGGGCCCAGGAGGCCAGCGGGCTTAGGCCCAGGGCAGCCTCAGCCTGCCTGCAGCTCTTTCCTTTACACAGCTCTCTCCAGAACAGAGATCAGGAAATTGGACACCAGGCTTATTTATACAGACAGAGCCGGAAAACCAGTCAGTCCTGTCACCCTTTACTGTCACCTTCTTCCTTTCTGTGTGGTTGGAGAAAAACAGGCAGTTATTACTGGGGACTGGACAGGAAGCGCTGGCATGGGAGGGCCTGAGGCGGCCTGGCTGTGTGGAAGGGGCAGAGGTGAGGCATGGAGGGTGCACAGAAGGGAAGGGGTGGGTGAGGAGACGAGGAACTCCCCAGGCCTACCTGCGCTCTCCAGGTGCTGGAACCACTGCTCACCCTGGGAACCGCCCTGAAAAACAGCCCTTGCTGTTCCACCCTGAGCACGGATCAACCCAGGCCAGCTCAGTAGATCGTCCTCCTTCTGAGTGGCTCCGAAGAATGTCCTCCAGGAAGACTTCTTCTTCCCAAGGTTTACGTTCTTCTCACTGGATGAGGAATAGATGAAAGGCGGTGACACCTGTGTCCCCCGTCCTTTCTGGGGCTGACTCGCTGCACCCTGCCGCTGGGGTGAGAAGGCCTCCGGGCTGCTCTTGAAGACATGGTGTCTGGTGTAGTAGGCCAAGATCTTGAACTCTATGCTGTCTGGGTCATCGTCCTCCAGGGGGATGTCTTCCAGGTCACACGAGCCACTGCTGCACATGCTGGGCCTGGAACAACAAACACCACACTGTGTCCCACAGGGAGGACCTCTCGCTCTTTGTCGGTTAGAAGGGACAGGGGGCACACCTGCCACGTACTGTTTTGTTGGGCAGCCTGGGTCGCCAGAGCTGGGAAGGCACAGTGGCACTGGGATGGGATGAGCGAGAGTCCACGGGAGGGGAGAGCGAGCAGATCAAATGGAGACGCACAGTGGGGAAGCAGGACAGGGACAGAAGACAAGGAAGGCTCTCGGAGGGTGGAAGGACCATAGGTGCGTGGGCACTGGGCAGAGAGTGGCTATGGGTGATGTGACTGAAGGTGGCGAGGAAGTGGCACGGCACAAGCACTGTGGATGGGCAGAACTTGTGACCTGTGGAGGGAAATCAGGGTGGTGGCTGCTGGCCAGACCACGGTGGCCTTAGATCACCAGGCTGGGAGCTTTGCGCTTTCTCCTGGGCATTGGTACCTTGCAAAGGAGCCCTCGCCACAAGAGGGTGCAAGGTCTTGGGGCAACTGAGGGGGGAGAGGTGTGTGGCTCCGACCCGTCCTTTCCTCTCTCCCTTGTTGTGTACCCTCTGCTTCAGCCATATTTGGTGCTCCAGATAAGATTTCATCTGGTAAAAGCACACTATCGTTGACTTAGTTATTTCTAGTGGCACTGGGGTTTGAACTCAGGGCCTTACACTTGTGAGGCAGGTTCACTACCACTTGACTCACTCAACCAGCCCTTTATGCCTTTCAGTTATTTTTCTAATAGGATCTTGAGGTTTTTTTTGGCCTGGGCAGGCCTGGATTCCAATCTTCCTATTTACGTGTATCATGTAGCTGGGATTACAGATTTGCACCACCACACCCAGTTTATTGGTTGAGAAGGGGTCTCATCATCCCCACCCCCACACTGGTCTCAAACCTTAATCCTCCTGATCTCTGTTTCTTTTTTTCTTTTCCCCCAGAGTTTTATTATTTTTTTTATTTTATTATTCATATGTGCATACAAGGCTTGGGTCATTTCTCCCCCCGCCCCCACCCCCTCCCTTACCACCCACTCCGCCCCCTCCTTCTCCCCCCCACCCCCTCAATACCCAGCAGAAACTATTTTGCCCTTATCTCTAATTTTGTTGTAGAGAGAGTATAAGCAATAATAGGAAGGAACAAGGGTTTTTGCTGGTTGAGATAAGGATAGCTATACAGGGCATTGACTCACATTGATTTCCTGTGCATGGGTGTTACCTTCTAGGTTAATTCTTTTTGATCTAACCTTTTCTCTAGTTCCTGGTCCCCTTTTCCTATTGGCCTCAGTTGCTTTAAGGTATCTGCTTTAGTTTCTCTGCGTTAAGGCAACAAATGCTAGCTAGTTTTTTAGGTGTCTTACCTATCCTCACCCCTCCCTTGTGTGCTCTCGCTTTTATCATGTGCTCAAAGTCCAATCCCCTTGTTGTGTTTGCCCTTGATCTAATGTCCACATATGAGGGAGAACATATGATTTTTGGTCTTTTGGGCCAGGCTAACCTCACTCAGAATGATGTTCTCCAATTCTATCCATTTACCAGCGAATGATAACATTTCGTTCTTCTTCATGGCTGCATAGAATTCCATTGTGTATAAATACCACATTTTCTTAATCCATTCGTCAGTGGTGGGGCATCTTGGCTGTTTCCATAACTTGGCTATTGTGAATAGTGCCGCAATAAACATGGGTGTGCAGGTGCCTCTGGAGTAACAGTCTTTTGGGTATATCCCCAAGAGTGGTATTGCTGGCTGATCTCTGTTTCTTGAGTATCTGGGATTATAGGTATGAGCCACCATGCCTGGCCTATTTATATTTTTTTACATATTTGGAAAGCACCAATGGAGGCAGTGGAGAGGGGAGGATGTGATTACCTGCATGCTTTAGAAAGATTCACACAAGGCTGAGTGTCATTGTCGATGTCTATAATCCCATCCTGTACTGGGGAGGCTGAGATTGGGAGGATTAAGATCTAAGGCCACCCCAGGCAAAAATCATGAGACCCTACCTGAAAAAATAAACTAAAAGCAAAAAGGCTGGGGGTGTGGCTCAAGGGATAGAGCACTTGCCCAGCAAGCTCAAAGCCCTGAGTTCAAATCCAAGTACTGACAAAGAAGAAAAGAAAGATTGCTTTCATGAAACAACTCCTTTTCTGGGTTCCTGCTAAGAAACCGTTTCTTTTGGCAAATAATCTATTTTGCTCTCTTCTGTTAATGCAAGGACATTTTTGTCTCCCATGCCAGCGGCCCAGTCTACCAACTGTCTCTGGCTTAAAAATTCTCAGCCAGTCGGTGTGTTGGAAAGCAGCTGGGGCTTCTTAGGTGGACTAGTTTTGAGGCCTAAGACACACTACCTCACTGCTCTGAACTTGAGCTTGCTGTAGGTAAACCGTACTTCGTCACAGTCCCCTGGCAGGGACATTGCGAGGGGTCAAAAGAGTGCATGAGAAGTTTTGCCACAGAGCTTTGCCCCAAAGTAACAACTCTCTAGGACGTTGTGGGGAGGCTGGGAGTTGGAGGCAGAGGCAGCGCAGGTTCCAGGCCAGCCTGGGCTACGTAGCAAGACCTTGTCTCAAAAAAACCCAAAACCCAAAAACCAAAAAAAAGTATAGCTATTATTTTATTCCACTGCAGTCATGCATGCCTCAATAATGGGGACATGTTCTGACAATGTGTCACTAGGCAACATGGTGGGAACACAAAGTGTATTTACACAAGAGGGCTGTGACGTCACGAGGCCATACGATCTTAAGGGACCACCCTGGCGTCGTGGTGCATCGTGGACTGAACCGTGGTGGTGTAGCATGTGGCTGTACAAATGTCACTTGGACCTCTGGCTGTTTTGGTGTGGCTCTGAATCATGTGCCCTTCTCTTACTGGTCCTGCTGGTGTCGGGGCTGAAGCCTGTTCCCCCCAGGTTTGCTGGATGCTTCCTGGGCATCCTGATTTCCCTGGCTGGGCAAGTTCTGATAAGAGCAGGGGTTGTACCCAGACGTGGAGTGGAGATGGGGGCTGATATGGACTCCCAGGCAGCAATGGGCAGACTCACAAAGCCACCACACCTACCCACTGCACCCACAGACGTCTTTATGCAGCTCCTCCAGGCCCTGGACTCTGCCTTGGATCACCTGAAGAGTGGCCCGGCCACCATGCTACTCGTCGCTGTGTCTCCCATTCCTGTCTGGTTCCTGTACATGGCCTCCTGTCTTCCCACCACTCTACCTATCCACACTCACATTATGGGAACTTTGCCTGTCACTTCAACATGTTTTTCACCTCTGCCCCTCCCTGTCACCAAGCCCATCCAGTCCTGTCCCTCCTCCACAGGCATTCAAGTCAGAAGGTCCCCCTTCTCTTTCAGTGCACAGCCCTGTCCTTTCTCCCCAGCCTCTGTCACATATCCTGTGTCCCTGCATGCCTCAGTTCCACTTCTATGTTTCAGAACGCCATCATCTCTGACCTGGACAGCTCCAAAATCCTCCTCTCCCCCTCTTGTCCTTCTTGTAATCCAGGATCCACCCGATGGTCGAATTATCTCTTAAAAATGTATAGCAAAATACTACTGAACGCAGTCCACAGAGTCAGTGCAATCCCCATCAAAATCCCAACGTTGTTCTTCACAGAAAGAGGAAATCAGTCCAAAAATTCGTCTAGAAGCATTAAAGATCCAAATAACCAAAGCAACACAGGAGGTATCACAACACCTGACTTCAAAAGATACTACCAAGCCACAGGAGCAAAAACAGCATGGTACTGTCACAAACACAGACATGGGACCAATGGAATAGAAGAGCCAGAAATAAACCCATGCCGCTACAGCCAAAGGTGCCAAAATCATACGATGAAGAAAAGACAGCCACTCCAACAAACGGTGCTGGGAAAACTGGATATCCACATGCACGAAGACTAAAACTAGACCTGTCTCTCACGTTGCACAAGAATCCATTCAAAGTGGATCGGAGATCTTTAAGACCTAAACGCTGAAACTACTACGGGAAAACACTAGGCGATAAAAGGCACAAGCAGTTAATTTCTGACTAGGACTCCAAATGCCCAGGATATAAGAGCAAGAATGGACAAACTGGACTGCATCAAATTAAGATGCTCTGTTTCAAAGAAACGGTTTCCAATGGCAACAGACATCCCACAGAATGGGAGAAAATCTTTGCAAACTCTCTATTGCACAAAGAGTTAACATTCAGAATGTACAGAGTTCAGAAAAGTTAAATACCAAGTGGAAACTACTCCAATTAGCAAATGAGCAAACGAATTGAACAGACATTTCTCAGAAGTACAAAAGACCAATAATACATGAAGCAATGTTCAACAGCCTTAGAAAATGTAAATCAAAACTCCACTAAGATTCCACATCTCACGAGGTGCCAGTGGTTCACACTTGTAATCCTAGCTGCTTGGGAAGCTGAGATTGGGCGGTTCAAGGCCAGCCTGGGCATATAGCTCATGAGACCCCCATCTCCAAAATAACCAGAGCAAAATGAACTGGAGGCATGACTCAAGGGGTAGCACGCCTGCTTTGTAAGTTCAAAGCCCTGAGTTCAAACCCCAATCCCACCAAAAAAAGATCCAAAGAACAAAGATTCATCTCTCCCAGTCAGAATAACCATCAAGAAAACAAACATAGCCGGGGGCTGGTGGCTCATACCTGTAATCCTAGCTACTCAGGAGGCAGAGATTAAGAGGATTGCAGTTTAAAGCCAGGCTAGGGAAACAGTTCCTGAGACCCTGTCTCCAAAAATCCCATCACAAAAATAGGGCTGGTGGAGTGGCTCAAGCATAAGAGTGCCTGCCTAGCCAAGCAAGTGTGAAGCTCTGAGTTCAAATCCCAGTACCGCAAAAAAAAAAATTAAATAAAGGAAGCAATGACCCAAATTCAGGATCAGGATGGAGTCAGTTCTACAAAGCAAATGAGCCCGTTTCCTTAACAGGCAAACATCGCACACAGACAAAGGTGAAGAGAGGGCCTTTACAGACTAAAGGAGACTGAAGAAACGTACAGATCTGAGTCCAAACACCTGTGCCAAATGGAGATACAGATGCTCTCCGTAGGGGAGGGTGAAATGCCATGGTTCAGACGGTGCTGAGGAAATATCGCTAATCCTGTCGGAAGTGGAAACGCTGCTGTTAAAAGTATATATCTGGACTGGGGACGAGCCTCAGTGGTGGTGTTCAGTCCCCAGCAATATTAAAAATACGCATCCATAAGGATACAGACTGTCAGGACATGGGTGACACTCAGTACATCTGGACTTAAGATACAAATACTGGCACTTTTGCTTATCCAGCACCTAGACTAAATAGTGACTTGACACACAGCAGGCACTCAATAAATAGTTGATGAGCAAATGAAGGGAAATGAATAGGTGATTACAGGGCTGCCAGGTGAAATACAAATAAATCTGATAAATAATAGAAATTTTAGCATCAGCATATCCCAACTAAAACATTATTTGAAACTAAAAAAATTTAAATCTTTTATCTGAAACTTAAACTTAACTGGGTGTCTTGTATTTTTATATCCTAAACTCTGTGAATGCAAGCTGTTGCAGGGAAATCCTGAGATATGTGTAGATGAGTAAAGTAAACCAAAGAGTGAGAGCTCAAGGAGCAAGATTGCTGGGCACTGTGGCTCGTGACTGTAATCCCAGATACTCAGGAGGCAGAGATCAGGAGGATAACGGTTCAAAGCCAGCCTGGCCAAATAGTTCTCAAGACCCTATCCCAAAAAAAAACCCAACACAAAAAAGGGCTGGTGGAGTGGCTCAAGTGGTAGAGCACCTGCCAAGTAAGTGTGAGGCCCTGAGTTCAAGTCCCAGTACTTGTCAAAAAAAAAAAAAAGAGTAAGATCACATTGGGTTCTGTGATCATGGTCATGGAGGGGGGCGGTAGACCTGGTGTGAAAGACGTCGAATCCAAGCAAGAGAAGGAACCGGGACTTCTCAGTGCAGGATTTCAGAGGTTTTCCAATAGGGAACTTTTTAAATAGTGCAGCTCTGGCCACAGGAGGCTGATGTCCACTCTGGTCCCATAGGAGTGATGTCTCTGTGTAAGGGGAAGAGCCCTCTTCTTGAGCCGATCCTCCATCACTACAGAAGAAATTTCCACGCAAAACCAAACCAAACCTTGTGAATGTAGTGTGAAGGCTTTGAAACGGTTGCTGTGGGAGGGGACAGCCTGACATGGGGGGGTCGAAGCAGAAAGCTTCTACTTGGAAAAGAAGTGACTTTTGTTGTTTGATCAGCTAGAACAGAGCTGGGACCTGGCCCAACCAACAGCAAAGCCCAGAGCGAGAGGAAGCAGAGAGAATGGTGCCCTCAGGTCACAGCCACAGAGCAAGAGAGGGAGTGAGGAAGAGGCAGGGTGCTAAGGCCAGAGCCTGGCTCGCACATGGGTGAGGGACAAACGGGACAGAAAGGTGTTAGTGAAGACACCTCGCTGCCCTTCAGGGGTGAGTTACTGCTACAGTGACAGCTGTCTCACTTTAAAGCAGCAGGGAGCCGGGAGTGTGTCACACACATGTGTGTGACAGAAGATGTCCCAGCTGGTGGCTCTGAGGGCTGGTCCAGAGCTGGGAGGGACATCTCAGCTCCTGCTGGAGACCTGAGGCCAAGGCAAATTCAGCCACTCCAGTACTTTCTCCTCTGTGACAACCACTCTCAAAGCCAAGGTTACAAGGATGTCTTTGTCCCACTCTTAGCTCTCCACCAGGGCTCTGTCCTGCCGCTAGCCAATGGGCTGAGTCCTTCAGGCAACTCCACGTGCGGCCTCTGGGAACACAAGTGGTTGGCCATTACTGAGTGTTCCCCAGTTCCCGTGGGGGCCACCACACTGTGGGGTTTTTCTAGAGCTGTGGGTAAGCTTTCACTTCTCTTCCTGCAGGTCATGGTTGAGTTGCAGGGTCAGCAAGCGGGGAAACATCTCCACTCACAGGGACCTCTGCCACCTACCATGAGTCACAAGGAGTCTGCACTTGGCTTGCCTCACTTCTGCCTGTCCCCAAGCACAGGGACCCCACAGGCCCCGCAAAAGAGCTGAGGGTAACTCGTGGGTGCCATAACTCTTCTCTGAAGGAGTCTTAGACCAGGTCAAGTTCAACTTCATCTGGTCTCCTTGAGCCTCGCCTTCAACACCGATGGCCTCTACTGCCCTATGGACACTGTCTGCCCTTCACGGTCCTTTTACTCCAGGCCTCTCTGTGCCTACTTTCCTTCTGTCATTTCTGAGCGTGACATGTTCTTTGATCTTGAAAGTGAAATGAGGAATGAGGTCAAATGTCTTAACTTTCCATAAAAATCAGAAAAGAAACAAAGCCGGAGGTCAAATTCCTCATACCAGAGGACCAAGGCTCTGTGTGGAACAGTGGGGCCAGGAACCCAAGGGAGCAGGGCTTTCTGGAGCGTGGGGCCATGGATTGCCCATTTTTCCTGGGCCTTGAACTCCAGGAAGTCTCTGGGGATCTGGCAAACAGCCCGAGTTCCTGGGAGGTGTCCAGGTTACTGGGCTCAAATCCAGGGACTCCCATCCTGAGCCCCCATTTCTATCCTAGGGCACGGTCTCCCATGGGGCAGAGGTACCTGTCATGTTGTCACACATCTTGACATATACATAGTGAGCGAGGGCTACACGGTGCTAGAAAAAACTCAACCAGTGGCACCTTCTTTTTTTTTTTTTTGCAATACTGGGGTTTGAACTCAGGTTCTCTACCACGTGGGCCATGCCCCCAATCCTTTTTCCTTTAGTTATTTTTCAATTAGAGTCTTGTGTTTCTGCCCAGGCCAGCCTGGACCAAGATCCTCCTATACTCTTCTCCTCCCCGTTATAAATTATAACTGAATGACAGGCACCTGCCACCATGCCTACTTACTGGTTGAGATGGGGGTCTCTTGAACTTTTTGCCCAGGCTGGCCTGGAACCTCGATCTTCCTAATCTCTGCCTCCTAAGTAGCTGGGATTACAGGTGTGAACCACTGTCCCTTGCCCAGTTAAACATTCTTAACTGAACTATCCAGATTACTCTGCCGCAAGAGAAATGAAAGAGAAACCCTTAAGCCTTTTTGTCCCCTTCTGGGAAACCACATCAATTCTCTCTCAGTATCACTTTGTGTCCTGAGCTGACACACTGAGAACATTGTAACAAACCGTGTACACATCCCTGGGGTGATGGCCACCCGGGGCAAACCAGTGCTGAAGCCGGGGCTGTGTCTTCCGGAGCCAACTGTGTTTGCCTGCTGCTGTTACCTGGTCTGGAAGCTGTCAGTGGTGTCTCCTGGGTCAGGTCGGGTGGCAGTGTGGCTCTCTCTCCCCCACACAGCGTCTGAGGGAACTTTGGCAGGTCTTCAGGTGCTCACTGAGAAAGGCTCAGGTGACTGGAGCAGCCAGGGACAGCTGCCTCTTCGGGGTGAGGAGGGAGGCTGGAGGAGGCTTGGGAAAGAAATCACTTCCTTAACGAAGCCCCGCCTCCAGCTTGTAACTGAAGGAGGGACTGTCCTTGCAGGCTGTCACAGGTTCTGTCCACATATTTAATCTTTTCACCACCCAGGGGCAGGTGTTTGGAGTCTCACTTTCCAGATAAGATGACTGAGGCGCCCAGGGCTGATGGAACCCTTCAGTTGAACCTGGTCTTTCCAGTCCTGGTCTTTCTGGCTCTCCACTAGGTCTTGTTATCTCTCCCTATACTTGAAAATTCTACTCAAGGTGGAGAGGCTAAAGTGATAGAGTGCCTTTTTAGCAAGCACGAAGCCCTGAGTTCAAATCCCGGTAGCACTAAAAAAGAATTCTGCTCCAACATTTCCAGTCCTGGTCTTTCTGGCTCTCCACTAGGTCTTGTTATCTCTCCCTATACTTGAAAATTCTACTCAAGGTGGAGAGGCTAAAGTGATAGAGTGCCTTTCTAGCAAGCACGAAGCCCTGAGTTCAAATCCCGGTAGCCCTAAAAAAGAATTCTGCTCCAACAGGACCACTGGAAACACATTGAGGAGCCCATCGAACCAGCCATAGCAAAACCAACAAAACTCACTTAAAGACATGTCACTATTTCAGGGACAGAATTTCCTTAAATATGAATTTACGCTTCATTCAGATTCTTAACTGACATGGGCATTTATGTTCTTGTTATCCTAAAACCTAAGTGTGGCCAGTTGAAATGTGAATATGAAGAAAATGTGAATGGAAAAATTTGGGCTGCTTTTACCAAAGTTGGGGAACAACTGACTATTTAGTACTTACTTATTTTTTTGGCGATACTGGGTTTTGAACTCAAGCCCTCACACTTGCAGAGCAGGCACTCTACCACTTGAGCCACCCTGCCAGCCCTTTTTTTGTGTTGAGTATTTTCGAGATAGGGTCTCGAGAACTATTTGCCCAAGCTGGCTTTGAACCTCGATCCTGATCTCTGCCTCCTGAATAGCCGGGATTATAGGTGTGACCCACCAGCACACGGCAGAACTGACCATTTAAATACTAGGCAAAGGGGTCCAGGAGAGACAGACAGACGGCGGTCAGGGGGGAGCTAGCTCACTGAGGACTCAACGTGGGTTTTCACCAGCAAACCAATATATATTGCACATGAAATGCACCAGTTTGGTTAGCCGAGACGCAGTAAAGAAATATTAAGAATGGATTTTAGTCTTTTTTGGAGGAAGATGCATACAGTATGTTTGAACAATTGAAACTCCCTGTAGAGCTATCTTAAACAAAAATCTGTTTTTTCAAAAACAGAAGACAGGAGGGTAATTTGTGTCCTGTTTGGAGCTTGGTAACAGTGAGAGGGGGGAGGGCATAGGGAAAGGGTGCAGGAGGGTGAATGTGGTGGAGCTATTATGTACTCATGTGTGCAAATGGAAAAATGAGATATGTTGAAAGCATTCCAGAAATGCGGGAATAAAGGAGAATGAGGGAGGAGGTGAATTCATTTATGATACATTGTAAGAACTTTTGTAAATGTCACAATGTACCTCCAGCACAAAAATAATATGGTAATTCAAAAAAGAGTCATGAAATAGATTGCCAGTGAGTGAATCGCACAGTATGGCCTGAGGCTGTTGTCAGAGTTCAAGTTAGGTAACTAAATGACTGATCGCAGAAGCCATTAAAAACACCCAAAGCAACGGAGCATGGTGGCTCCTGTCTGTGATTCCAGTTACTTGGGAGGCACAGATAGGGAGGATCTCAGTTCAAGGTCAGCCCAGGCAAAAAGTCCAACCATTAAAGCTGGTTGTGGTGTACACCTGTGGTCCCATAATCCCAGCTATGAAGGAGGCATAAGTAGGACTGAGGTTCAGGCTGCCCCTCAAGAGAAGAATGCAAGACCCTATCTGAACAATAACTGAAGCAAAAAAGGTGGGAGTGTGGGTCAAACAAACCCAGTGCCCTGCCTGATAGAATCCAAACAAAGCTACTTTTCTCTTGATTGTAAAGCTACGCAGACACTTCTAAAACAGAAAACATGGTAAAATAAGGACCCCCCCCCGCAATCCAGGCATCCCCACATCCAGTGACAAATATTAAAGACAAGGTGCACGTCCTGGTTAGCTAGTGACCTGTCAGGTGGTTGTCCAGCCCATCATCCTTTCTCTTTATGCTGCCCTGGGGCTTCAGAAGATGTCACCCTGTGACATGTCACTCTGGAATAAGGATATTTTGAGCTGTTAAAATGCTATATAACCCCAATCCATCCCTCCTTCCTCCCTCCCCTCCCTCCCTCCCTCCCTCTCTCCCTCCCTCCCTCCCTCCTTCCTTCCTTCCCTCCCTCCCTCTTTCCTGCCCTCCCTCCCTCCTTCCTTCCTGCTCTCCCTCCCTCCTTCCTTCCTTCCTTCCTTCCTTCCTTCCTCCTTTCCTCACTCCCTCTCTTCCTCTCCCCTTCTCCTCCCTCCCTCCTTCCTCTCTTTCTTTTTCCTTGTTTGTGACAGGGTCTTGCTATGTGGCTCAGGCTGGCCTTGGACTCTTGATCCTCCTGCCTCAGCCTCCCAGGGGCTGGGATTACAGGCATGCACCACCACGCCTGACTCACAAGCCCCTTTGTGTTACTCATCACTGCACTCCACCCCCTCCTCTACACCTGTCAGGAAATCCTCTAACTGTGTTTGGGCAAAGAAGCGATGATGTTGTGTGACTGTGGCTGGCACCGAGGATAGAATTGTGACAGAAGACTGTACCACCCTGGCTTTTTTTGACACCTCACCTGCAGTGGAGAAAGAGCGTCTCTTTGATGCACACATTACCTGCTACTGAGGGAGATGTGAGGGCAGAGCTTGTTCTACACTTGAATCTGACTGACCAAAGGCACCCGTTACTCTAGTGGAGGCCCTGGGAAACTTGGAGAAAATTAACTCTCAGTTATTGTAGAATTCTGAGCCTGGTGGGTCATTAGCTTTTTCTTTTCTTGATGGTCCTGGAGTTTGAACTCAGGGCTTCAAGCTTACTGGACAGGTGCTCTACTACTTGAGCTGCACTCCCAGCCCTTTCTATTCTGGTCATTTTTCAGATAGGGTCTCACATTTTTGCTCAGGGCCAGACTCAGATCTCAATCCTCTTACCTCCATCTCCCACAATAGCTGAGATTACAGGTGCTCACCACCATACCTGGCTTAGTTGTTGGAAAAGGGTCTTGTGATAACTTTGCCTTGAACATCAATCCTCCTAATTTCCACCTCCTGAGTAGCTGGGATTACAGGCATGAGCCATGCACACGCTGTCAGCCTTTAGAGCAAAGACAGGCACCACTGTGACAACTCTTATTTTACTGAGTCTCTAACAATAATTAACCAGCTGTGTGTGTGGCACTTACAGTTGTACTCATCCTACACACAAGGAGACTGAGGCACAGAATTGCCCAACGTGACACACCACATGTGGCAGAGCTGAGACTGGAGGGAGCCCAGGCAGGTTGTCTTTAGAGCCTACACCCTGAGCCCTAACCTAGGCCGCCTTCTTCATCTGTTGCACTTTGTCCCCTTGGGTCTTTTTACTTTTCTGGACTCACTGTCCCTGCTCTTGTGACTCTGGAGTAGATTAACACCAGAAGATTTAAAACGGCCCAGTGAGATGGCTAGGGCCCCTTTTAGCAGTTCTGCGGCTATCTGGCTTTATAAAGACACACCCCTTTGCTTGCTTTATTTTTTTATTTTTTCTTAAATTTGATTTTAGTTTTTGGCAGCACTGGGGGTTGAACTCAGGGCCTCATGCTTGCTAGGCACGTGCTCTTACTACTTGAGCCACGCCACCAGCCCTAAATTTTATTTTTCAATCACCATGCATTAACAATGTGAGGGGATTTTATTGTGCTCATGTCATAGCTGCGTCCAGTGAACCTGGAGCAAGGTCCCCTCCATCTCGTTTCCATGCTTGCCTCAGAACTGTTTCTCAGTTCTTCAGAGATGCGAGTTAACTTGTAGAGAACGCTGAGTCACTCAAATAATAATTCCCATTGAAAGGAAAATTAGCTCCTGTGAGTGCAGTACCTTAGGGTGTGGTTGATAACAACTGGCTTTTCCACTCTCCTCTGCCTTCAGAATCACTTCAGGATTTTTTATCTAATAGTGAATGTTTAATGGGGCTCGCCTTTGAACTGGTTGCAATAGTTTATTGGTTCCCTTTGCGTTAATCACCACTGCACTCCACCCGCTCCTTCTTTACATCAGGTGAAAGTCATGATTTCACTTTTACATTTTTTTCTTTTCTTTTAATATTGGTTAAATGATTTAAATTCTCAGGACCTCAGGTCACCTCAGTCCCTTCTTGGACTCTATGCTTAACCGATGCATTTGCAGGGACATCCCTAGGGTTGGTTACTGATTCTGCCTCTCACTAGCTACACAAAGAAGCCAAAGAAAACACTTGATTTGAGGCTAAAAAGAGGATTTTGGAAGGGCTTTCACTTTAAAAGTACATATACATGCTGGGTACAGTGGCTCACACCTATAATCCTAGCTACTCAGGAGGCAGAGATCAGGAGGATCACAGTTTGAGGATAGAGCAGGCAAAAAGTTATTGAAACCCAGACTCAACAAATAAGCCAGGCGTGGTGGTGTGCATCTGTCACTCTGGCTTAAATAGAAGAATTGGAGTCCAGGCTGGCCTGGGCGTTAAAGTGAGAGCCTATAAAAAAAATAACTAGAGCAAAAAGGGCTGTGGCCGTGACTCAACTGGTAGGGTGCTGCCTAGCAAGTGTGAGGCCCTGAGTTCAAACCCCAGTACCACTATCCATATATATATGTATATATAGTGTGTACATATATATGCATATATATATAGTGTGTACACACACACACACACACACACACACACACAC